CACTTATTTGGGACCGTTTTGGAGGGTTTAATATCAGGGGGACGGGTTTGTTTCTGGTATATTTGATATTCCACATATTTGATCATGGATTTTAAGTATATGTGGTATTCAATCAAATTCATGATGATTATATAATTATATATATCATATATCAAATCCATGACATCAAATTCATCCACAAGTCCCGGGTCTCGTGGCGCCTTGGTGTAACCTTCATCGTAAGCACCGCTCCAGGGGATCCAACCATTCTGCCTCGCCATACCTGGAAGGATTCGCTGATATTGATGTAATTTTTGAAGAACAAGAAGCTCCAGAAACTGGGATTCAGCATGGTTAAGCTATATATTGTACTTTGATTACTTTGATTACCAGTAGTACCGCACAAGGCGGTGGCGGAAGTTTCAGAATAGGAAACCTATAGGAGACGTTGGTTGTTGTGAATCACGGATGGCAGAGCGAATCCACTGATTGACCGAAAGGTGGTTGGACTTGTGTTTGCTGGAATGGTTGCAATGGTTGCAGTGGTCACCTCACCCACAACTGCTGGATGTAGTGTGATGTACTGCAACTGTAGTTGTAGCGTAGTGGAGTTGTAGTTGTGGTGTAATGTAATTAGTGTAGTGTAGTTGCAGTCATATGGTTGTAGCTGTAGTTGTTTTGTAGTTGTAGTTGTTGTAGTTGTAGTTGTTGTGTGGTTGTAGTTGTTGTGTAGTGTAGTAGTAGTAGTAGTAGTAGTTGTTGTTGTTGTAGTTGTTGTAGTTGTTGTAGTTGTAGTTGTTGCTGTTGTTGTAGTTGTAGTTGTAGTTGTAGTAGTAGTAGTAGTAGTTGTTGTTGTTGCTGTTGTTGTTGTTGTTGTAGCTGTAGTTGTTGTAGTTGTAGTTCTAGTTGTAGTTGTTGTGTAGTTGTAGTTGTAGTTGTAGTTGTAGTTGTTGTTGTTGTTGTTATTGTTATTGTTGTTGCTGTTGCTGTTGCTGTTGTTGTTGTTGTTGTTGCTGTTGTTGTTGTTGTAGCTGTTGTAGTTGTAGTTCTAGTTGTAGTTGTAGTTGTTGTGTAGTTGTTGTAGTTGTAGTTGTAGTTGTAGTTGTAGTTGTAGTTGTAGTTGTAGTAGTAGTAGTAGTTGTTGTTGTTGTTGTTGTTGTGGTTGGTGTTGTTGTTGTTGTTGTTGTTGTTGTTGTTGTTGCTGTTGCTGTTGTCGTCGAAGTTAGGGTAGTTAAGTTAGTGAAGTTAGTTAAGTTAGTCAAGTTAGTTAAGTTAATCAATGTCTACTTTTTCGACATCTTCACGTCAAAAAGGCTCAAAACCCTCAGTTTTTTACACTTTTGACTTCGAAATGTGCTTCGCGCCACAACGGCGTGCACTTTTTCGACACTTTTTCGACATCTGAGCCTCCAAAAGTGCTCCGAACCCCTAGTGTTTTTAACATTTTGACTTCCAAATGTGCTTCGCGCCACAACGGCGTGCACTTTTTCGACATCGCAACTTCCAAAAGTGGTCCGACATTGGTGTGTTTTGTACATTTTGACTTCAAAATGTGCTTCGCGCCACAACGGCGTGCACTTTTTCGACATCGCAACTTCCAAAAGTGGTCCGACATTGGTGTGTTTTGTACGTTTTGACTTCAAAATGTGCTTCGCGCCACAACGGCGTGCACTTTTTCGACATCGCAACTTCCAAAAGTGGTCCGACATTGGTGTGTTTTGTACATTTTGACTTGGAAATGTGCTTCGCGCCACAACGGCGTGCACTTTTTCGACATCTCAACTTCCAAAAGTGGTCCGCTCCTCTGGTGTTTTGTCACTTTTCACTTGGAAATGTGCTTCGCGCCACAACGGCGTGCAATTTTTCCTCTCTCATCTGGGCAGCTGGCTCCGCACCCGCCGCTTTAGCGAGCCTACTTTTCGACCCTCCGGAGCCACAAATCATTGGAAAAACACAGTGAATCGCAACTTTCCTATCTTTTCGCGCATCTACATCTTCTTTCTTCTGATCTTTTCTCTTCTGACTCTTCTCACCTCTGCTTTTCAACTGTCCATATTGTCGGAAGTATAGCTTCTAAACTTCCTTCGATGAATGATTCATATAGCCAATGATGATAATTCAATGATAATTCTATAGATCATTCCTTAAATAGACGCCAGAAACCTTGGTCACCGGTAGATCTCTGGCTATCTCTGAGTTGAGCCCAGGGGCCGGGTGTGGAGGTTTCAAAATATGCCACAGTCCCAACTGCCAGTTGCCACTCGGGCGAGGTTCCTATGAAAAAGCCGCCTTGGTCCTGAAGAGAGGCAGGGATGGTTGGTGTTGGGAGTTGGTTTCCAAAATCCCTGGGTCCAAGATGGTCAATGGAAAAGAGAAGCTTTCTGCAAATCCAAGGACTGCTGTTCTAAGAAAAACTCGGTCCTTCACAAGTTTGTGACCGTCATAGTCCCACACGAACTTCCCAGACACATACCTTGGCCCGTTGGAACCAGGGTCTGGCCAGGAGAACTTTTCTTGCACCATGCCTTGCCAAGTGAATGCCTAGAATTAGAAGTTGCAAGATTAGATCTTTAGATCGTTCTCTGCAAATTGCTGGTCTGTCGATCTTGTTCCAGGGAAATTGCTTGTAGTCAGGAATCTGAAGCCAAGAGTTTGGGCCGCTGGTCATCGCTGGTCACTAAGCTGCGACCGAATCACCTGCTGTTCACCAGACCTGCTTCAGCGTTGTTGTAGATGTATCCCAGATATCTCGCTGTGCCTCTGACCTGACTGAAGCTGCAGGCGAACGAAATTACAGTTCAAAGATTGGCAATGATGGTATCAAAATCGAAACAAAAGCTTTCAGCGCCCAGGACTGATTATATCTGATTATCTCTGATTATCATTCATGTATTCTAACCGTCTCAGGTTCTCTCAGACCCCAATGTTTGAATCTCCGCAGATCCGTTCAACTTCGGCGGAGGCCCCCGGAGGCCCGAGGGCCTCTTCGAGGTAAAACTTGAGCCACGAGTGAAACCCACCGGCCACGGGCTGTCCGGAGATATCTTCCGTCAAGTTGCCTGGAGGTGAGATCAGGGGCTGGGATGATCCAAACGGGCAGTGGCAGTTGAAATTGGGGTACCTCCAAGATGGGATGAGTTGTATCGAGAATGCCTAAAATATAATTAAAATATGTGGTTGTGAGATGTTGTGAGGTTGTTTTTGGGCCTCAAAGTTTAATCCATAATTATCCAACTCAGCCCTAAAATGAATGAAACCAATACCAAACGCCACTGAGATACCCAAGAACACATGCTCGAAGACACAAGGCTTGCCATCGCGCCGTTGAAACCACAGCTTGAACAAGACTTCCTGTTCCAGCGCTCCACAGAGAAGTAGTTGACATACAACAAACACAGTGAGGAGGGAGTATGCCTTGTGAGAGCGTGTTTCATTGATCTGCTTCAACCAACTGTCTATTTTCTGTGTTTCATTGCAGCATGTGCACACCCTTCTCAACAGCAAATTGCTCTCCTTCCATTGTCTTGTCAGAACAATTGGCAAAGTCTTTGTGATATGGCGAAAGGCGCGACCTCACTGCAAGGCAAGTTTCAAGATAAAACCCAATGTCTGACCAAATTTATGATTTGCATCTGGATTGGCTAATTTTGGTCTGATTCTCCTTGTATCCTCTTATAGAGATTTATGGTATGGGCATGTATGGGCATGATATGAAGTCTTTATGACTTGCAAACCCAAACGATGACTAGCTTGTTGGACAAATGCAGCTTCAAAGCAATAAGTATCGAACTGCGCCATTTGATGTAATTATGGAGGTTTCCTACAGTAAAATGGGGGTACCGCTACATCATCCAAATTAGACCATGTTAATACTGAAACCCATGGTCTTGGGGATCCCCCATGACTTAAGAAACCCCCGCATGTTCAAATTTTCAGGTTTTCGATTCCAAGCGGAGCCATTCCAGACATTTCCAGACAACATTTACGGCCAAGTGACGCATGACTGAGGTGCGCGTCACCTGTTCCAGAAATTCATCGATTGCACTGAACTCCACCGGGCTATATGGACCCGGTGTACCTTAAACGCTGGGAGCATCGACAGCCCGGACTCGTTTCGGAAACTGGGTAGATAAAGGCGTAAAATGACAACTTCTGCGCCCTTGTGGCTATGGAAAATAGAGTTGGCTGTGGGTTAACATTCAAACCCTGAAGACCGACAGCTTTTGGTCAATCTTTGGTTTTGACATGCATCAACCATCAGATTGTTTGGAGTACCAAATTTTCACCCCCAGTGTATCCAGATTGCCATGGTCCTGACCCACATTGACCCACCTTAACCGTGATAACCCGCTAAAAATCACGAGCCAAGCCTCTGCCATTTGCTTGACTGGCTTCTGCAGGCTGAAAAACCTGCAAAATCTGTAACAATGGCTTGCAAATGACTGCACTTGTATGCGTGGTTGGTGATTGAGCCACCTCCCTGAAAAATAGGAAACCCTGAAAAATAGGAAAGTCATTGGGGATCATCATCCAATTTCTATTTTGAAAATGAAAAACACCTGAAAACACCACCAGAGATGCAAATGTCTCATATGATCCTAAACACAAAGGAGCTCGGATTGAACATCAGGGATGCTGGTCTATCCATGGTCACGGGACATTTTGCAGAGAAGGCTGCTCCTGGTGATTGGAAAATGACGAAGACCATCACAAGATACGAGAGCAAACGTCAAATGAAAGTTGGATTCACCGCCAGAATCCATGGAACTTCGCCGATGAAACAACCGCGTCTTTCTGACGTTTCACATGCCATGGTTTTTCAGCCACCGCGCTGCTGAAAACCATGTGTTCACCACAGCGAGAAACATCGAAGATCCTGACCAAAGTCAGGAAAGTTGGACGAGCTAAGATCTCTGGAGCCACAAAAGCGAAGAGAGGCCTCTTGGCACACCTCAGCGACCGGCAGCAGCAGGCAGCAGAGTAAAAACAAACATAAACTCTAGACATTTCTAATCATTTCTTAATAGATGAGTATAGATGGGGTAAAGTATCTTTTCCCATCTGCGTCATCTGCTCCTGTATAATCTGTATATATATAATATTATGTGCACGTATATACATATTCATACATATTCTCGCATAGATACATCGGTAGATAAGAAATTGTACTTTGTACTAGTATGTGTCTGTACATATCATATGATATTATATATACATATGCATACATATGCATACATATGCATACATATGCATACATATGCATACGTATGCATACATATGCATACATATGCATACATATGCATACATATGCACTAAACAGATTCAGGTGGCATTCTGGAGTGAACATGTCGAGGTTTGGCCTTACACCCCTGTCCAACACAGGGTTCCAGGGCATTTCAACTTCCAACATCAGGAGTTCTCGAACCGAGGGGCTCGGCCAGAGTGGTCCGTAGCGCTGGGACCTGCTCATCCAAAAGAATATCCTGAAGAAAGGGCCAAGAACCAAAACCCATGGGATCCCATGGGCAACCAGTAAAGGATCGTCCCCAATCGTCCTGGGGTTTGAGTTGATGTGAATTTGGGCATGCGGGCTCAGTGCTGCAAAGAAAGAAGGGATGCCTGTACTATCCTGTAACTGACAGATGCTTCATGATGCTTCCCATTGAGGGTTTGCGGGTATCAAACCATGTTTTTACTGTGGCGTACACAAACTTTGAGCCAAGCTAAAAACGATAGATACCTCAAAACTATTCAAAACTTGGATTTTTGTGACTTCCGGAAAAAAAAAAACACTTATATAAAAACACTAAGCATGGAGAATGGTGGCCATCATTTGTTCTGAGATGATGCAGCCAGGCCCTCCCGATCTCCCATGTTTCGTTTCGGTGGAACCGAGGCGCAGCATCCGCATCCAGCCAGGGTCTTCGTCCACCTTCTCCCGGACGCCTAAAGTTAGGATTTTTAGAGGTTGATAGTTTTTGTTGCTGGTTTAATGTGATGTAATGCAATGTAATGTAGTGTAGTGTAGTGTAGTGTAATGTAATGTATGTATGTATGTATGTATGTATATATATATTTATATGTGTACACATGAGATATGGTACAAGTCACAACAAAAGATCTATGTATATATATATGACATACATTGAGATTCAGCAAACATAATACGTGTAGAAGCTGAAGCATTACTAAGGAAAAAGCACGAATAGGAAACGAATGGGATGTGGCCAAGAAATCCGTTTTGAAGTCGGTTCTGAAGCGTAGCCGCTGGCAGCCGCTGGCAGCCGCTGGCAAGAAACCTGGCACTGACTGCACAGCGTCCCTCATCCAAAGCCCAAAGTTCATCAAGGATCTCCACAACATCCTGGCGGCATCGATCCAATGGACTTCCCCAGTCTGAAGCTTTGGTGGCTTAGTGAAGACGTTGTGGTTCACCTGCGCCATGGGTATGCCCATGGCTTATAATCACATGTAATATATATATATATGCATGTATCTATAACATATCAAAAAAAGATTAGCATAACTACCCGTAACTACCCCATCATGGATAACCATGAAATAAACATGGCTATCGATTTATTGCCACACCCCGCCACGCTTGCGCCACGCAAGCGCTACGCAAGCGCTACGCAAGCGCTTCCGGCGCCTCGCGATGTCGGGCGGGCTCTTTGGCCTGGCAAAGATGCAGATCCTGTGGTCACATCAGATGAGATCAGATATGTATAATATATATATATATATTATTATACTATGCATATATATATATATATTATATTATATATATGTATATATAGATACATATATATATATATATGTACGTAATTGTGAACATACTATTGTGTCATGATGTGTCATGTGTCTCATTATACACCTCAGGACCTCAAGTTTATCTAGTTAATTAAATCATATTTGACCAGTTGACTGAGAATTCCAATCCTGCTTCATGGGGCCGGGCATGAGTCCCAGCCTGCAAACGCAGTGCAAAGTCGTACAAGGCACTTCCCAACTGCGAACTCGACAGGGCGGCACGACGCAACAAGCCTCAGGATGGAAGTTTAATGTGGGCTTAAGCCCCTCATAGGGATGGATATTGATGGTAGAAAGTAGGTCCTTAATAACTCCCATGATGGTCAAGTTTTCAACCAGCACACTAAGGCACTGACTATGGAAGTATGTTGAAAGGTTCTCGATTCACACTTGCAAGCTTAACCGTCCAAGATGTCTGTTGGCCCATTCAAGCAACAAAAGCATCTACTCCATGCCAGACGTTCTCAAGAAATGATATGATTACTTCTTGACTACTGCATTCTCCATTACCCATTACACATTTCTAAACAGGCTGGCACCTTGAGCCTTCACCCCTTGAGCCTTACCCCCTTTCTGTCCAAGCATGAAAGGATATGAAAGGCCCCCAACCATCCTCATGATTCCTTCTGTTTGTTTGTGAAATCGGGTTATAAATATGTATAAATCAAGTTACACATATTTACACATTCTTTTTTGGGGGTCCTTTAAAAAAAGGCGGGTTGGTTCTTTTCATCTGCCAAGGCGCTGAAAAGAATTTCACGTGTGGCACCAGGTGGCACCTGCTCCCGAAGTGCATCGATACTTCGCAACATCGCCATCTCCTGCGATCGCTCTATACCTGGGCTGAGACGCGATGTAGGTTTGCTCCCAGACTGGTACCATGTATATATATATATAATATATATATATATAATATATATATAATATAATGTAATATTATATTATATAATAATATTATATTATATTATACTACTATATAATATAATATAATATAATATAGTATTATATTATATTATATTGTATAATATAATAGTTTATATTATATTCTATAATATTATATTATATTATACTATATAATATTATATTATATTATACTATATTATATTATATTAAACTGTTATATACTATAATATTATATTATATTATATTATATTGTATTATACTATATTATATTATATTATATTATATTATATTATATTATATTATATTATATTATATATATATACATATGTATAAATATAATATAATACAATATATATATATATTATAATATACATATATATATAGAATATTACAAACATATTCCAGGTTAACCTGGTGGTGAAAAAAGTTGAACATCTGTCATAGATGAAATTTGAGGTGTCCTGTGATGTCCTGTGTCTCGTTCTTCTCGTGTCTCCTTATGCATGGCGCGACAGTGCTAGATTTGCTGTAGACAAGCTACCGGCATAGATCTCAGCAAATCTTCCTGTCTCCTGTTCCAACTGCTCTGTCAACTGACAAACACACGCAGCTTTCTGACTCGAGGCAATATCATGCAGTTCTCTTTCTCTTGTTCTTCATCTCAATTCAGGAATGGTAAGGTACATGTACAGTAGCAAGCCTCGCGCTCCTTCTCACTCTGGGTATATCTGGGTATGTGGGTATGTGCATAGTTGCTGACCGTAAAAAAAAATCTGGAAAACTGAAAAACAGTGCCAACATGTCCTGTTTCATCCTGTCCATGTATTCACAAAATCGCTACCATTCTAATGCAATTCTTGAAAGGAAGTGGTGACTCAACACTACTGAATTCATCAACTCTCAAAACATTTCCTGATAGCTTCAACCTCGGATATCCCAACAAACGTGATGCCAAAGCTGGAAACCTGACGTGTTACGCCCAGTCTCCTTGAATCTTTGTGTGGACTGTGCCTTAGCAGGCCGTGGAACGTCCTGAACCGGTTCAGTTCGTCCTGTTCGTCCCGTTCGTCAGCCGGCGACGGCGATGTATCGATAGCCAAGTTGCGGCGTCCTGACGGACGTTACTGAAGATATCCCTGGCTCCCTGCCACGGTGCGGACTCGTGGCATATGGCAGGAACTGTAAATTGGCAGATGTGGACAGTGCATTCATCGACTGTGCTGAAACGTGCTCAAAGGTAGCCACTTACAACTTTCAGCTTCTCAAACGCCTCCATTTTCAATGTCGAGTTTTCAGCATACAGTACCGGATAGTACCGGGTACCGTAACCGCCGTAACCAAAATCGCCTGGAAGAAAAAGTTCGGCATCACAAAACCGCCGGAAGAAGCCAAGGCGTTCCCACCCTCTAGGTCCACACCACGCAAATTGTCAACGAAGATGGACCTGGCGGTGGAAGGCTGGGTAAAGGCATGATCCACCCAAAAAATGGTTAAAGGCCGGGTATTGGTGAAACAAAATAATTGAAATCTCCAAAATGGTAGGTCATATCGGGTGATTGAATATATTAATATATATTGAATGGGTGGAAAGTAAAAAGATGTTCGTGAAAATGCCTCATGCTTGTCATTTAATGTCATTTAGATGTTCCAAAATCCTCTAAAATCGATGTGTTTCACCATCAACGAGCAAAAAAAACGGGTCCCTGCCGAGCCGGGTTTCCCTGCAGCACTGCGGCAATCGTTGATATCGTCCCGAAGACGCCCACGAGAATACCCAGACCAAAGCTGTCCACCCCCACCTGGGCTGTTGGTGAATGGGAAAAAAAAAAATCCAGAAATCGTGACTGAAATCACTGAAATGCCAGTGGAATATAATGGAATTCATGGAAATTCAACCCACAACAGCCACATAGCCACAAGATTTACCATCAGCATGGGTTGAACTGGACACAGCTCACCCGAGGGAGTTAGTTTCTTGGAACCTGCTATCAATCTGACAGCTTATGCACCACGCTTGAACCGCAAATCTCAGTTCTCCCTTGTTTCGAGATGGTTTCTCATGGTTTCTCATGGTTTCTCACTAGATCGATCCACTAGCCACTAGCCGTGATGGTTGAACACTGTCACTTCGAAGACCGCATTCTAGAGGACAATAAGATGGCCAAAGGTCTAATTAGTATAGAAACCCTGATGGTTAAACATATTTAAATATGGTTTACCATAACCTTAACCATAACCGTTTTCTGCAATCATTTTTTTGTGGCATGGAATTTGCTGATTCGTCACGGATCAAGTGTGTAGCCCATGTACATAAATGATGCAAGTGCCCAGCCATTGCCAGTATTGCCTGATAGTACCACGACCGAATTCAACACTGATGAATACTGTATATCTTACTGTGAAACAAACAAAACCTGAGAAGGGGTGGAACGAAAGCCAGCGCTTGCTTTTTGACTCGGGCGGGGGCGCGTGAAACTCCACCTCATCCATATGGCATGGCTCAAACATGAAGCGCCCCAACATAAACAATTGCTATCGGGTCATAATTTTCCAATCATTAAATGGACCTTTTTAGGGTAAACTCCACGATTTTGTAAGTTCTATATCCAAATATGTTTCCTACAAGGTACTGCGGCATTGTGAACAGTTCTATCTCAAGTTCCATAAATCCGCCTTTGGTTGCTCATTTATCTTAAAACAGCGCAAGTTTGCTCCCACCTATTGTAGATAAATTATACCCGCTTTTTTGTGTGAACAGTGGTCATGTGACCTCTCAAAGTCTAAATTGTTCTCTCCCCAGAATCGTGGTCCATGCTTCTCTGCGAAGTTCCGCAACATTTTGGCCGTAGGGTGAGAAATCAAAACATAGCTCTACTCGCAAAATGGGCAGTGCAAACCCAATACGTAAGAAAGGGTATAAGAACGAATGAAAATCGAGGAAAACAATACAAAACCCACGGGAAATATAGAACAGTGGCGAACATGCAGTCCAAATCAAAAGTATATATATAATTATATATATTTATATTTAGGCCATTTACAGGCCTGGGTACCCCCCCCCACCCCCCAAGGGTCTGGAAAATAGGTATTTTACAGGAACGCGGAATAGCATCATCCCTGACATCGATAGAGATAATTGTTTGGCATCCCGGAAAATCTACTCAGCTATCACACTCGCCAAACATCCCTTTTAAAAGGCACACATACTATCACGGACGTACAGATGCATATCATTCCCGTCATTGCCATTAGAAGATTCGAATTCTTTCTCGATGTTTTAGTACAAGATTCACTTTTAGTTCTGTTTCAGCCTTCTCAGTACGGCCTCTTACAATGATATTACAGCATTTGTCTCCTAACCTAGGTGGCTCCTGGGCGCAATCTTCATTCCAATGCTTTGTGACAATAACCAGAGGCCTGGAGCCTATGCATCACTTGACAGTCGACTCAGTTCTAAACCGGAAAGACTATTCCTTCCGTTTACCAGTAGATCGTTTTTGTAGTTCTTATCACAAAACTACCAGAATCAGGGAGGCACCAAAAAACGTCAAACAGCTTTAAGCATTATAAATACTCTAATCTGCAGATTGTATTTATTTTTCTTACTCTGTGAACGAAATCACACTTTTCTAACTTCACACAGATTACCATGAAACAAATTTTCCCATGCAACTCCTAAAATCTTACAACTCATACATCTTTTTTCCTATACCATCCGCATCTTGCTCCAAGGTTTCATGGCAATGTCTTGTACGCGAGGCAGCCACTATTTCCTATCACCAAACTACATTGCTCATCATCTAACATTATCTACAGAAACCAAATCGGATTTCCTGCTCAACGTTTCCGCTCGTTGACATTGTCTTGGTTTTCACTATATTTTTAAAGCATTTTTAGTTATAACATTTTCCTAGGTTTTCACTGTATTTTTCTAACATGTTACATGCCTCCTAGCATGTTCACGCGTGTCCTCCATGTTGTACTGTTTTCTACATCGTTTCCTCTACACCGGGTCCTTTTACCGTGGAAGTCAGGATGGAAAAACCTGTCGGTTTACATGGAAGTCGTTTACGTCCAATTCCTGGGGAAAAAGTGAAACTGGGCTACCGGGCCAGCAAATGCAGAAAAACTGACCGTGAATCTCTTACATGGAAGTAGCTCATCAGATATGTCAGTAACATATTCATCATGGAAGTGTGAAAACTGAGACTAAAAACCCTTACGTGGAAGTAACTTGAGGGTCCAGACATCAGGTTGGCAACTTCTATGTTAACATGTTCTCCCCTCATGTTGAATACATCCTTCTAGGGCGATCCCTAAAACCCCCAGACTGACCGCCACATCATTTCTTTTCTTCTTTGCATCTATCTTCTCACCCCTGTCATGTCCGAGCGATTGAGGATGCAACCTTTCGAAATCAATGCTGCCAAATTGGTGCTCGCTAACATGGCACTGCCCACATCCTACTTCAAGTAGCAAATTTCTATGTAAGTTATCCGTTCCAATCGTTGGTTGTTAAAAAATGGAGGCATTCCCAGCTTTATCTTGAAAAATTCAAAATTTCTACGTTAATCAACAAATGCCCAGGATTCCCGGGGAACTCGTGGCAAAAAGAACTAGCCAAAAAAAAAGGCCTCAGATCCAAAGAACACAAATTTGCAGTTTACCCCCCCCATTGCAACTAACATGGAAGTAAACCTCCGAATTGTCACTTTAGTTAACGTGGAAGATTTTTTTTTGCACTACGGTAAAAGGAGGACCGAGCGCTCGCTAACATGGCACTGCCCACATCCTACTTCAAGTAGCAAATTTCTATGTAAGTTATCCGTTCCAATCGTTGGTTGTTAAAAAATGGAGGCATTCCCAGCTTTATCTTGAAAACATTCAAAATTTCTACGTTAATCAACAAATGCCCAGGATTCCCGGGGAACTCGTGGCAAAAAGAACTAGCCAAAAAAAAAAGGGCTCAGATCCAAAGAACACAAATTTGCAGTTTACCCCCCCATTGCAACTAACATGGAAGTAAACCTCCGAATTGTCACTTTAGTTAACGTGGAAGATTTTTTTTGCACTACGGTAAAAGGAGGACCGAGCGCTCGCTAACATGGCACTGCCCACATCCTACTTCAAGTAGCAAATTTCTATGTAAGTTATCCGTTCCAATCGTTGGTTGTTAAAAAATGGAGGCATTCCCAGCTTTATCTTGAAAAATTCAAAATTTCTACGTTAATCAACAAATGCCCAGGATTCCCGGGGAACTCGTGGCAAAAAGAACTAGCCAAAAAAAAAGGGCTCAGATCCAAAGAACACAAATTTGCAGTTTACCCCCCCCATTGCAACTAACATGGAAGTAAACCTCCGAATTGTCACTTTAGTTAACGTGGAAGATTTTTTTTTGCACTACGGTAAAAGGAGGACCGAGCGCTCGCTAACATGGCACTGCCCACATCCTACTTCAAGTAGCAAATTTCTATGTAAGTTATCCGTTCCAATCGTTGGTTGTAAAAAATGGAGGCATTCCCAGCTTTATCTTGAAAAATTCAAAATTTCTACGTTAATCAACAAATGCCCAGGATTCCCGGGGAACTCGTGGCAAAAAGAACTAGCCAAAAAAAAAAAGGGCTCAGATCCAAAGAACACAAATTTGCAGTTTACCCCCCCCATTGCAACTAACATGGAAGTAAACCTCCGAATTGTCACTTTAGTTAACGTGGAAGATTTTTTTTGCACTACGGTAAAAGGAGGACCGAGCGCTCGCTAACATGGCACTGCCCACATCCTACTTCAAGTAGCAAATTTCTATGTAAGTTATCCGTTCCAATCGTTGGTTGTTAAAAAATGGAGGCATTCCCAGCTTTATCTTGAAAAAATCAAAATTTCTACGTTAATCAACAAATGCCCAGGATTCCCGGGGAACTCGTGGCAAAAAGAACTAGCCAAAAAAAAGGGCCTCAGATCCAAAGAACACAAATTTGCAGTTTACCCCCCCCATTGCAACTAACATGGAAGTAAACCTCCGAATTGTCACTTTAGTTAACGTGGAAGATTTTTTTTTGCACTACGGTAAAAGGAGGACCGAGCGCTCGCTAACATGGCACTGCCCACATCCTACTTCAAGTAGCAAATTTCTATGTAAGTTATCCGTTCCAATCGTTGGTTGTTAAAAAATGGAGGCATTCCCAGCTTTACCTTGAAAAAATCAAAATTTCTACGTTAATCAACAAATGCCCAGGATTCCCGGGGAACTCGTGGCAAAAAGAACTAGCCAAAAAAAAAAGGCCTCAGATCCAAAGAACACAAATTAGCAGTTTACCCCCCCATTGCAACTAACATGGAAGTAAACCTCCGAATTGTCACTTTAGTTAACGTGGAAGATTTTTTTTTGCACTACGGTAAAAGGAGGACCGAGCGCTCGCTAACATGGCACTGCCCACATCCTACTTCAAGTAGCAAATTTCTATGTAAGTTATCCGTTCCAATCGTTGGTTGTTAAAAAATGGAGGCATTCCCAGCTTTATCTTGAAAAAATCAAAATTTCTACGTTAATCAACAAATGCCCAGGATTCCCGGGGAACTCGTGGCAAAAAGAACTAGCCAAAAAAAAAAGGGCTCAGATCCAAAGAACACAAATTTGCAGTTTACCCCCCCCATTGCAACTAACATGGAAGTAAACCTCCGAATTGTCACTTTAGTTAACGTGGAAGAAAAAAATATATATATATTTGCACTACGGTAAAAGGAGGGGGAGTAGTTGTTACAAGCATTTCCTAGCTTGTACACCGTTTTCCTAATATTGTCACAACTTTTCTTCCAGTTTCCACTGCTTTTTCTACCGTTTCCTGTGGTTACTTTCTTCTCTTTTTTAGGTTTTCACTGTGTTTTGTCCAGCTTTTTTTACTACATGCTTCCTACCATTTTCACCGCTTTCCTCTGTGGCTTTTTGTACCGTTTCCTCTCGTTTCCTGCATTTCATGCATTTTCAATATATTTTTCCAAGAGTTTTACCCGTCTCCTTCAGTTTCCGATCGTTTTTGCACCATTTCCTCTGGTTGTTATCGCATTTTCCTGCACTTTCACTGTATTTTTCCAGCATGTTTACTGCATCGTCATAGTTTGTTCCTAGCAGTCGCTCCGGGTTTCCTCCATGTTCCAACAGATTTTGCACCCTTTATTCTGGTTGTTATCACATTTTCCTGCCAGGTTGTTATCACATTTTCCTTCACTGTATCTTTCCAGCATTTTCCAGTGGATTTTGCACGATTTCCTCTGATTGTTATCATGTTTTCCTGCAGTTTCTATATCCTCTTCGTGGGTTTTCAGTCTATTCATGCATGTTTAATCTATTTTTCCAAGATTTTTACCCGTCTCCTTTTTGCACCATTTCCTCTGGTTTGCTGCATTTTCAATGTATTTTTCCAAGAGTTTTACCCGTCTCCTTCATTTTCCGATCGTTTTTGCACCATTTCCTCTGGTTGTTATCGCATTTTCCTGCACTTTCACTGTCTTTTTCCAACATGTTTACTGCATCGTCATAGTTTGTTCCTAGCAGTCACTCCGGTTTCCTCCATGTTCCAACAGATTTTGCATGGTTTGTTCCTAGCATTCGCTCCGTTTTCGTCCGTTTTCCAGGGGGTTTTGTACGATTTCCTCTGATTTTTGTCATGTTTTCCTGCAGTTTCATTGTATTTTCCAATACATCCTCATGGTCTCTCCGGCGACCAAAAAGGCGGACCTAGGGGGAATCGATACCCCACCGTCAGCAAATTACCTAGTGGTACATAATCCAGCAAAATGCTCCGTTTTCTGGCACTCAACACAGGGGCACGGCGAGATTTCGTTCCCTTTCGGCAACCACCCCCCCCCACACCCCCTATTCTCACTTCGTTCGCAAACAGCAACTAGCCAGCTAGCTGGCTTTCGTAACAACACAAAACAAACTCAAGTTTGGACCTAAAAAGCCCAACTGCGATCTATTTTGGATAAGTTGGCTTCGCACAAATAGTCAAGGAACAATTTCGTGGTAAGATGTTTATTGTAAGACACCAACAAAATTTTGCAGCTATCATCCCAACATCCGAAGGATTTTCCATGCCAAGCAGCAGAATCCAAGTAGGTGTCAATAGCCTTGGTTGGGAGGTATTCCCGTACCATCATCCAGTCGTGGATGACCAACCTGCAATCCCCATACACGGGGCCCTACAAGATAGTATTTTGTTTCACAACTTACATGTGTTATATTGTGTTATGGTTTGGTTCCAAAATGTTCCAAACCTCCAAACTCCTAGGGTTGTGTCAATTAGTATTGGCAATTCTCCAATGTTCCCCAAACATGGATGCAATTTTTTGGCATTTTCACTACGATGCGTTTTCCGTTGCGTGCTGGAATGATTCCTGAGAGATCCTGAAACTAGTATATCAGGCTGAAGGGTTGCTAAGGCTGTACTTGGGGGTGCAGTTGAGGCCATAATTACTATTTTTAACCACACTTGTAGGAATAAATTACATCCCAATGGGGATATTACTATAATCATACTGATGAATAACCTCAACTGCATCTCCAAGTAGTGTTTGGATCCCAAGTAGTTTCCAAGGTTCGCTTGGCCAAGCAGCAGATGGAGCGGCGCGAAGGGACCCAAGCCCTTGCGTCTGCTGCGTCCGCCTCACTTGTGACCCCACACCTCAGCGTTTCAGGTCGAACGAATGGGACCTTCAGTTGCACCGGCGGGGAAGAGGTAAATCATGGCAAATCATGGTAAATAGTGAATAATGCTAATGAAATCATGGTAAGTCATCATGAATCAAATGAAGCATCTCATGTGCACCAAAGGGTAAACCAGTAAATCGGAGAAGATTTCTTCCAGATTCCCTGTGTTGAGCTTGCAGGACCCCTGGCTGTGGGTGTACCAACTCTCCGGGCAACTACTCTCAGATTGACCCAAAAACATCACGAATGACTTACCAGAAATGGGTTGCATAAACCTTTCCCGCTTGTGTCTCTGACAATCGTTTATCAGGTATGTACATTGAACGAGCGCGATCAAAGTGACAAAGTGGCCCGGAAACTCTATCTATATATATATATATGTGTGTGTGTGTTATGTATATATATATATATATGTTATATCAAACATTAGCCTGTTTGTCTGTTGCCATGTCCGTATGCAAAATGTGGAGCCCAGGGGGCAGCCCATGAGCAGCCCCAAATGGAGCCCCAATGTATGTTAAAGACCCATATTGGGTCTGAAAACAATCAATCTTGGTATGAAACAAATCTCTTGAATCAGGTGACCCAAGTCTGTTTGGACAAGATATTGGAGCGCCAGTGCCACACTTTGAGCATAGTCATCGAGGGCCATCAGCCCATAGGGTTTTGGCTTGAGCATGGTGATTTCAATGATTTCATGGAATAGGTGTTCTTTGCTTGAGACTTGGATTTTGTTACCGCATAGTGACATACTTATTGAGTTCACGAAGCATTTTTGACAACCTGATTTTGATGTTTGACCGGGGGCTATTGCCATGAAGCGCTTGCACGGCGAAGTTTTTGGCAGCAGCAGCGATTCCAGCGGCAATAGTGATGATGAACCAGCCCCAGACATCTAGTAGCAAATCATTTTTTTGCTATTTTGACACCGGGTGGCATTTTTTTGAATTTCATTGCAATGGTCATACCATACATTGCAATTACGTTGGGCATGGAATTTGTGAGAGTGCTGTACAGTGCTTGGGGCACTCTTCCCACTTCCCATCAGCTCCTTTGATGTAAGGAAGCTGCTGCTGCATCAACGTTTGCATCATCTGAAGTTGCACGCGAAGACGCGTAGCAGTTTTCAGAGACTTGTCTAGTGTGGAGGACGTGATGTCAAGGTAGTGTTGGATGGTTTGATGTCTAGACTGGCTGAATGAAATTCCGACATGTTTTTTTAGGCAACTTGAAACCTCTTTCCTTTTCATGGGCACGGCGCCCCCCCAATGCTTGGCACTTGGAATCTGCCGTTGCTATATAGTTGGTGTGCAGCAGGAGATCTATGACACGGGCAACTTCGAATATGGTCCAATTCATCACGGTGCATTGCCGGGAATCTGGTCACCTTCCGGATTGATCCATAGCTGCAAAGAGCAGGCCAAGATTGAGCTAGGGGTAGCACGGCGGTAAAACATACTTCTGCGCATTGGCAAGAAAATGCTCATTTTTCAGTGACTTTTCTTGGCTGGATACTGTGATGACAACTGACATTGATTACGTGCTGACGCCTGTTTGTGTGCTATAACGATTCTGATTTTGAGTCTGTCATTATCTCAAAATTTGCTCCTTCTCAATCATTCTCCAGCGTTGGCTGGAAATTGCCTTTGCTTCGAGTGACCTCTTCCATTGGCTGGTTGTGCGGGATGTAGCTTAGGCTGGGGCTATTGCACTGATCGTTTGGATTTGGACGATTTGCAGGCGCCAACAGTGGCGGCCAAGGCGCTTGGGCGCACCTTACATGCTGAGAACTTTCAGAGCTGATATGGAAATTTGACCCAGTAAGGATAGTCAGGATTCTCCTTTTTGATTCTGTGACATGGGGTTGGTTCCCACTTTGGGCTGCATTTTGGGCTGCACTTTGTTCCACTTTGCCACCAAAATTTCCCCCCAGGAACGGTTCAGAACGGTTCAGAACGGTTCTGAACTATTGTGGGGGTGTTTACGCATGGTGTTTGGGCACGTTTGGACCAGCTTTTGGGAGTTTTTTGTGTGTTTATTGTTGTTTTAAATGATTTTCGCGATTTCAATCCACCTGGGAAGGACCTGAAGAGGAAGGACTCTACAACACAAAAAAACGGCTGTGAAATCGGAGCTGGGGATTGAGCCTTTCCAAGGCTTTGTGCAGCGCATAAATTAAATTGTGATTGTTATGTTTACTTTATTTAATATTCGACTTCTTTTTTACGACTTACACAGTATGAGACGTTTTTCTTTGCTGCGACATTTTTTAATATAGAAATGGCCCTTCCCTTTCATTAATAACTTCACAGCTTTAAGACCACGTTTTCAACTTAAAATTTTGATATGGGAAAAACATGTGCCAAAACACAGCCCCAAGACATCTGCCAGGAAACCGTTCTGAACCGTTCTTTGTAGAAAGTACCAAAAAACGCAAATAGTTCAGAACCGTTCTGAACCGTTACGGAAACGGAACCGTTCTGAACCGTTCTTTGAGGGGTGAAATTTTCATCAGAGAACCGTTCTGAACCGTTCTTTGTGCATCCCAAAGTAGTGTTTTTTGTATTTATTTGAGCAATATTTTTCAATTTGTTTTCTTTTACGGATATCTGATATCTTAATCATTCATCATATGATTTAAAACATCATTGTATGTTGAATCATTTCGCTTCATTTTCAACACATATCATTTTATACTATTTTAGTATCATTTCATCATACCACATCTTATCACCATGTATCGCATCAAATATTTTCATCATGATAACATCAAATCACGGAGCCCTTTCTTCCACGTTTCCACGCTATGGTAGTTCCACGGTATATAGACATAGACACAGAGACACAAATCGTACCGAAATAACATACCATAACATTCCACATGGAGTCATGCAATGTCAATTTGCATCATGTCATAAGTCGTATAGGTCAAATCATACCATCACATCATATGAATCATATCGCAACATATCATGTCCAAACTCAACAAGTGCCTAAACTTCAAACTTGTTTTAAAGCTTCCTATTGGACTAATCCTGCAGGGCTCTTAATTCCAACTGTGCGCAGCTGGCTTTTCAGAAAGGGCATTGCTGCTCTTGGACATTTCGGCAGTTCGGGAAGTTTCCACGAAGGTAGGGTGACAATTTTATTGGGAAATTGAATATCAACAACAGTTTTGACATCAATCTGGGCTTGAATCAGGGCTATGTATGGTGCTATGTATGGGGCTGTGTTTTGGAGAAAGAATCTCTATACGGAAATCTTGACAGAAACAGCCATTTAAACAGGCTAACGATTGTGCACACGCACATGCACATGTAAAGACTTAAAGAAAATGGGGCATGGATAATCCTTGAAGGTAGGGTCAGGGTGTAAACTTTTACTGTGAAATTGAATATCAACATCAGTTACATCAATCTGGGCTATGCATGGGGCTATGTATGGGGCTATGTATGGGGCTGTGTTTTGGAGAAAGAGACTCTATATGTATAAATTGATAGAAACAGGCACTTAAACAGGCTAATGTTTGATATAATATATATGTATATAAATAATAGGTGTGTATAGATATAAAATATATATAATATATATATAATATATATATATAATATATTATATAATATATATATATATATGTGTATATATATATATATATCAAGGTTCAAGCCAAACCCGCAGATTGTCGGGTTATGTTTTGGTGGTTCCATGGTGTATGCAGCATGTTCCAACGACCATTCCTTAAGTCAATTTCCACCAAAACCATTCACTATAAGAAATCCGGGCGCGCCAAAGGTGCCGAGGCGTGGATGATACGAATGGACAGTCTGTTTAGCTGGTACAGCTTTAGCTGGAGGTGGCATCTTCAGGATCGACCCCTTAAAAAGAGGTTCACCGCTGTGGTAATTTGCACATGTTGCATATCGGCCCAACATCGTCCAAATAATTCACTGTTGAGATCCGACGTGTGACGCCGTGTCCCCCACTTTGGGTCTGTCTTGTGCCCAAGTTCGGCGACAAATGCCCCCACACAGGACCAAGTTGCGCATGTTAAACCCAACTTGTGTCCAAACGTGCACAAGTTGTGCCATATTGGACCCCAGTTGGGCTCAAGCTGGGCCCAAGTTGGAGCCAAGTGGCCCGAGTTCGGCGCAAGTTAGGCTCCCGTTGGGCCCAACTTAGGCCAAGGACGGCCAAGTTTGACCGCAGTCGGCTGCCACGAGCCCGCTTCTTTCCTCTCTGTCCTATTCGCTGGGTCCTCGTCGCACCCATCAATTCACAAAACATAACCAAACCATACAAAACTGGTATAATTTCCTACCATCCATTACCATCCCCTGCCCACTGTTGTACACTACCGCCAAGCAACTTCCGCACAAGTGGACGGACGGCCTGGTGCTTGCTGACCATTCATCCATTTCAGTACCACTTTCACTACTAATTATTTAGAATGGTTCAATGGTTTAAAGCAATGGTGTGGTTCATGATGCTTCCACAGCCATCCTGAACTTTGGAACTGCCGCACGCTCCAAGATCACCAAGATCACTGCTGTGGATTAAATATATAATTATATAGACCGCCCCTTGTAAACTTACGACCCACACGCTCCTTTTCAGACTGCAAGGGCAGTTTCTTTGTACTTGTAGATCCTACTGCTCTGAAACTGCCAAACGCTGCTCACCAATGTGGAGCTGCAAACTCTGAGAGGAATGGGAAATTGTTATTTTGTCAAGGCCAGAATCAAGTGTTGGTCCAATGTGAAGCTCTTGAGTCTTAAGACCCTTTGGCAATGCCACCGGTTCTAGGCTATGGTTGAAGCAATCGCCAATGTCAAGCTTTGGAGTCTGATTGGGTCTTGGGGACTGGTTAGGTTAGAAGAGTCACTCATTCCAGGCTCCCCTTGAAATCAGAACCAAATCTCAAGCTCCGAAGACTGCTCGGCAGGGCTGACAGCTTCGGCCAACAAACTTCAACTGACGGAATATAAAAGATATGCACACGAGATCAAGGTAGGCATCTGTATCCCATGTCTTGAATGTTGCTCATTCCCAGAACTGGATGAAACGAAAAGCTTGGGCCGCTTGGGGAAACCCCAATATATTTGACTGGAGATAACATGCTGTGCGGATGCGCCCTGTGCTTTCCATGGGCAGGCCTCGATTGAGGCGGAGTTCCCAATGTCGCGAAGGCATCTGGCAGCCAAATGACCTTAGCGCGATTGATTCCTCACCATCACAAGGGATGAACTGGGATATTGAAAAAGTGATAGCATGCCCTGTAGTAACCCCCAATTGAGCTTCTAATTTTCCGTGAGAACTCACAGAAGATCCCCAAATGGAGTCTGGTTTATGGTGTGGGCTTCAATTGCCATATGTAAAGAGCATCCTTGTCGAACAAGTCTCCTTGCAGTTTCTTCCTTGCATCACAAATATGAACTCAAAGATAGCGATCACCAAACAAACCCTAGACTCAGATTGGCATTCCAACCATCCGAATTACGGCTTGGTTGAATTATGTAATTACAGCGAATCAGCGTTTCTCCAGCTGGTTCCCAGCAATTTGGGGCTGTAATCCTAAAATTGGGGTACCTCCAAAATCATCCCATTTTAGTAGCATTTTCATGGATTTTCCATTCTCAACCCCCAAAAAAAATTGAAACTTCACCTCCACATTTTCCAGCCAATTCCGCCCAAGGAACTCCAAGGACTGGTGCTGCCAGCATGACTTTCCGTCGGCCCATGGCCGCCACCGAGGATTCACCACCGATCAGCGCATTGCGGCGTTTTCGGGCCCCCTTTCGGAAAGAACAGCGAGATTTCTGGTGGGTTTTTGTTGAGGTTCGTGTTGCATAGGCCATGATGTTGGTGTGTTGAGATTCCCTGAATAGAGATATAACGATGATATAACGATGATGCTGGTTATGTCTACATACCGGGTTCCCGGTATCATTCCCGTTAAGAGAATGGTGCTGTAGACTCTCTGCAACTACCACGCCCGGTGTCGGATTTCTCAAGCTGACAGCTCGGCATTTCTTGAACTGGCTGGGTTTTGCTAGGTTTCTGGCACACCTACACCTTGATCCGTTGGATTTGAACCAACAGGCCACAGCGCATGTCATTGAGTTTACCCTGTCACTGAGGAGTTACCTCTCATCTCCCAAGGCATGCTTGATGCTTTTAAAGGGCCAGGGCAAAACGATGGAGTTGGCACTAAGAATTATCAAACCCTTTGTGGGTCTTCTAAATGATCTTTCAAATATGCCATCTACATCTACTTTTGTGGAGCCAAGAGTGTCTACATCAATCGCAGGACTGGCCGCTTGCACAACTCTATGGCTTCACCAAGGGTGGCAGGGTGCCTGTAGTTCCTCTTGTGTCGGGCTCAAACATCACGGCTTGGTTGTCAATAGTTGAATAACGGTTAAACCCCAAAAGGTGATATTTGATACTTGTGGTGGCAAGCGACCAACCTGCTCCGTAGAGGCTAAGCAAGAGGATCATACAAAAACCCTCAAAAACCCGAACCTAAAGATCGTATTGATGCGTAATAGTACTGATAGTCATAAGTATAAATCAATTTTAAGGAGTTATTCACCAAAAAAATGAAATAAAGAGCTATAACAAATAACACATAGAAAATAAAACAACAATATACATGAATAATTAATACAAATACTATCTGATACGCACCTATTATCTCATATAAAATACTATGAATAACAAGTAATAGTAACACCGATTTTAAAACATACGAACATAATGCATGCAATGATTCATATAATGGTACTATTATATAATAATAGATACAATAACAATAGATGGCCAATAATAGAGTGCTATTAACAATACGATCAATTTTATCAACTAAAACTTGTAAAATTAATAATAATCGAAACACAGATCATAGATATATCATAGATTACTATTGAAAATACTATATTACCTATACATTTACCTACTAACAATATCTAATGATGTAGATCTCACCATCCACACCCGACTTCCAATAGGGGGCGTCGGACGTCGCGTTTGCTCCGCCACCAGCTCTTTGGCCTTCTCTTCATCCCCAAGAGCCTGGTTCGCCAAGGGGAGATCAGATGGACAGAGATAAGAAAAGGATGGCCACATAGGTAGAAGTCTGGTAGATAGGTTGGTTGAGTGATAGATATCTAACATCTATTGATGGATAGATTGATAGATATAGATTGATAGATTGGTTGATTGATATAAGTATATAGGTAGACGGGTATATAGATGGGTAGATGGGTAGATGGGTAGATGGGCAAATGGGCAGATAGGATAGCTAGACAAGAAGGTAGAGAGATAGATGATGGGATATATCGGCCATATGTTTTTTTGTTGATAGGTTTGCCAGAGCATTGTGGAATGGTGTGTTTTTACCATTTTTTGGCATGTGAATTGGCCAGATTTATGAGGTTTTAAACTGTCAGATTTCGGAGGGTGCCATATTTTCAGACAAGCACGGGGTGTTTTGATGGTATTAAGATGTATTGAGTAGCTTTGCTCCCTCAGAAAATCACAGTTTTCCATAGTTTTCCCAGAAACATCGGAGAAAAATGAACCCGGTTTCGACGTTGGTTGGGCCTGAGCTAATTGGGCGTTGAACACGAGGACTTCATCCTCATGCCGCCTGCGTAACCTGGGTTTTAGCCGCGGCTCCTGTAACCGTAACTGGATTGGATAAACATCAGTGTTGTGGAAGATAAAGATAGGATGGAACCAATGGATTGGAAGAACATCACCTACTGGATAGTGTTGTTGGATAAACATCACCTACTGGATTGGAAGACTGAAAATGATGGTTGAACCCCCCAAAAAATGAATGGTTGATAAGCTGATGTGAGTATATAATTGTCCAATAGATCAAAAAAGTAGGGGCACAGAACATGTTTAGACATACCGGAATATGAACATGAGAGGATTGGATGTTGATAAATCCTTAAAGCAGGCACATCTCAGTCCAGGAGGGCCTCTTTGCTGCACTGACAATGAGCTAAAATCGTGAAATATGGTCAAAATTGATCCCATTTCACTATTCTGAAAGTTGCGGCTGGGATTATTTTTTACCATGAGGTCGCCGTGAGGTCAACATCATTTACCCAGACAAATAGACATCTTTTTCAAGATGAACTTGAATAGATTCTACAGAGCCTGCCAGTCACCTCCAAATCTTTGGGTGTTGGATGGTGTTGGTTCTGATCCACACGACACATCTTTAGATTCTTCATAGACCGTGTATAATGTGGATAAAACAATACTCAGCCATCCCCCAAATCACAATTTGTGTAGGTGGTACAAACCATTCCCAGTCATGGGTGGTTTATTTATTGTGGTTTATGGTGATTAATGGTAAATAATGTGGTAATCCATAAATGCCGTACCCTCTGGTAAATTAACATAGCTATTGAAAATTGCCATTTATAGTGGATTTACCCATGAAAAATAGTGATTTTCCATAGCTATGTTAGTTTACCAGAGGGTAATCCACAAATTGGTGGTTTACCACATTGTGTTACCCACATTTGTGGATCCCGAAACCGACCCTGAGACTTCCGACTCTGCCAAGTGTTTGGCTTGGCGACCTGAGCATAAAGGCGACCAGATCGGAGCAAAATAATGGCTGAAATGTATATTAGATGATATTGGATCATATTGGCCATATCATATATATATACATATCATATACATATCATATATATATATAAATATGACATATATAAATATACTTTACAATCCACTGCCAAGAGATTACAAGCCAGTTCCTACCAAACTATTCTTCTAATCTGAACCATCATGCTAGCAAATGTCCTTTTGTTCGACTCCCTAAAAGACCAAGACCCTGCTATCTTTGTGGTGGAGTATTCTGCCACCAATGCTTGCAGCAATATAGTGTGAGCGTGACTGCTTGCAGGTTAGATCATATCGTTATAGTCATAGTTTGTTTCACAGGTGCCCATATACATCCCATCCTGTTGCAACAACAAAACCATGGCGACTTCTTCAAGGATTAGCAGTTCCAATTCAGAAGCTGTTAGCTGCTGTTAGCTCTGATCTCCAATAAACATCAATAAACCAGTATTTTCAACCAGTTCTATAGTAGAATCTCTCTACATGAACCATCAACAGGGTTAGAACTTGTCGGCTCACCTTCTACAGTCTCCTCCTGCAAGGAGAGCAGACAGGCCTGGGCTGTGATGATCTGCCCAGCTGCCAGTTCTGTCAACGAGGAATCTCTGTTGAACAAAGCCCGGTTGAAAACTGAAAGGGGTTGTCCCAAGAAACTTAAAATTAAGTGTACTTCAAAATGGTTGAAGTATAATAGTAGAGAACTTGTTGAAAAGTGTGGATTGCAGTGCATTTATTTCTTCAGAACCCGTGGATAGTCTGAGCAAACCGGCTTAAGGTAAATCCACGATTAAATCAAAGTCTAAACTCATATATATCTATATGTCATAGTTCATCTGCGAGTTTGATCATGTTTGATCTGTAAATCCCAATATTCCGATGGTTAAATCATGTCGAATCCACATGTTGCCCATGTTTGAAATCCTGAAATCCTCCGCACCTGCAGCAGCCTGCGCTGCCTCTCACGGCTGATGACTTCCAGGCGCGCTTGCGCACGAGCCTGGTCAGATTGGATTGAAAATAGGTGACCCATGGTGACCCATGGTGACCCATGGTGACCCCCTAGATTTGATAGCTTACACATGTAAAAATGTAAAAACAAAACGTCATGTTCCCTAAAAAACTGCATGTTGTTGCTTCTTTGGCCTTTCTTGGACACCCAAAATCGAAGTTTGCAATTTTGAAACACTAAATTACTGAGACTGGTTAAACCTATCGTCTTCCATTCCAAACAATTCGAGGATAGACTTGGATAGACGGTAGAATCATGTTGGTTGCATTTTAGATTTCAGGGAACAAAGCACCCGTTGAATCTTCCCTTTGGGGTCCTATTTTCTCCAATTCCCTTTTTGTGAGCCTGCGGCAAGCATAAATCACAAGGTAACATCCACTGACGTTTCTTTATGCTTTTGGTCATAAGCTGATGGCATCGAATGCTTGGCCCCATGAACTATAGATTGCCAGGGTGTGCCAAATCTGTCCTGGGTGAAATTTACTAGGCACCCCACGCTTCCAAACGGCCCTCCCCCAAGCCCAAACAAAAATCGCTGGACCTTGCGCATGCGTTGGTGGTGCTCAATCTTCAGCTTCTCCTTCCTCAGGTGTTGCTTTGGAAGATCCAACAACTTTTTCTGGCGATGAGAACCTAGTAACTAGGATGGTTACTTTCTCAACAGCCACTCGCGCCCAATCAAGTGCCTGTGCTAAGCCTTCAGTACATGGCACCATCTCAGCTGACGACTCTTCTGCTGCTTTCCATTTGAAGCGGATCTCGTCGAAGGCACACCTGAGAACATGCCAATGTGTTGTGCAAGCAGTGGGGACAGCCACAAGAAGCCTGGATACACAAGCTCCACGCATGACATGGATGGACAGATGGATCGGTGGATGGAAATTCATCAGACTGATGTATCATGATGTATCCCTTTATCGAAGCTGAGTCACTGAAGCCACGAGCACAAGCTCCCGCGTTGCACAATCTGTCGACGCGTTGGAAGTGGATTGTCTCTTTCATCTGGGGTTCTTCAGCTCTGGAATCAAAGTTACAAGTAGGATCAAGTATATAGGTATTATCATATATATATATATACATATTATTATATAATGTAGGAAATCAAATGCCACAACCTTACCATTTCGGGATAGTTTATAGACCCCTTTTATGGTGATTTTGGGGATGGTCTACTATTGGGTTTACTGGAAGTGTTGCGCAGCTTCTCAGCTCCGTCAGCGCCTCTTCTCTCATTTTCACAAGCTTTAAGCAATAATCCTGGTGCAGGCAGGCGGCTTGAGCCACAAGGAAGTCCAAAAAATTCCCGGAGGTCTTCCAGTCTTCCCGAAGGAACCAGACTCTGACAGCATGAGGTTCTGATCTCCCCCTTGGAGACCATGCTATGAACGACATGGTGATCTATGGTGATCTGCAACCTTCTTCGGGCGAAAAACCCACTTTTCTTCGTGCCATTTGGACTCCATGGAGGCCAAAAAAACCTCTGGCATCATGTGACTGCCTCACACCCCCTCCGGTGCCTGGGCTAAGGAATCCCACTTGCGGTCCCGAAGAGCCACAGCCTCGTTCAACTCTGCCACCTGGAGAAGTGTTTCTTTGAGATGGGAAACATGTGATGTGGTAAGCCCATTCCAATAAACCTGCCATTTGGGGATGATATTTGCGACCCATTTATGGGAATCTGGGGATGCTTCAATATTGACTTTGCCACATCAATCAGGCAGAAAATGTATATGATCTGTACAGTGTATGTTCTTAGACAGGTGGAGAACGCGATTCACGTTCACCACACAACCATCATCGCCCGCAAATCATGGAGAACGAAGGGACAACTCCGTAATGCAAAGAAACGACCCAAAGATGCAGCACTGATCCAACCACCTTAGCTTGTTCCTCCTCTATTTGCCGTTGTTTGTTCTTGATCTCTTTGTCCTGCCATCGCTGCAGGACACAATTGGAAAGTTGCAGCCAGAAATCAAGACCACTCCGCTTCGGTCCTGCTGCCGCACTTTACCATAGAGCGCTTCCAACTCTTCAACTAATCCTTTACCTGTCAGCAAGCGGATGGTTGTTCGTTCTATCCCAATGCTGTTTGATGAGTTTTAATACTCCACCCTCGCTGGCCCTGCTTGGTCTGTCCTAATTTAGGGGATAGACCGTCAATTAAAACCTGGCATGAACGGGCATGAACACAAATATAGATACATGTATAATGTTCATTGGTGTTCTATTGGTATATCCCAAACATAATGGTATATCCCAAACATAATGGTATATCCCATACCATGTTCATATTCTGTTCTGTTCTGTTCTGTTGGTGCCAAACACTGTCTGTTTTTTTTTCGGCACGCAAGGACAGAAAGAATGAACCAAGGTTCAGGATCAAAGATCAGTAAATCAGTCAGAACCCTCCGACACAATCTCTGTGTATATATAATATATTAACCAAAAAATAAATGATATTAAGTAATCAATAAATATAGTCAGTACTAAATATACTGTAACTACAAATTATATATAATTATAAGTGTATATGTACAGTATAGGATACAGGTACAGTATTCACCATGCATGCCCGGTCTGCTCAGATCAGCCTTCCGTGCCGCTTTGAGCTCGCCATGCTTTAAGCCGTGCGAAGTCTTCGGCCATCTTTTGCCTGGCTCCAAGTGGTAAGTTACTATGCACTACCCTAATGGTGTATTCATTAACACCAAAAAAGGCTTTTAATATCTTTTAATAGTGTAAAGTAAAACTCACCAAAAGTTAGTGGTAAATTAACCTATCTTTTTGGTGGTTACTTGTGTATGTATGTATAATATATGTATATCAATCATGTGTGTGTACATGTCTGAAAATATGGGATACAGGTATACAATCATCCGTTTTTGGGGTACCCTATTTTCAGACACAGCCAGGCATCTGAATGTCTGTATAGGATGTTATGAAACATTTGGGTTTCATTCTGAAACTGGGGTACTCCATTCCATCCATTTATCTGATCATCATTTTCCCATGAACAAATTGGCCATGAATTGGAGGCTATACCCCATTTTCAGACACGGTCATGGCGGGGGTTCACCAACCAAAAACATCAAAGCAACATGTCTGCAGCACTCCAATTCATTTCTCCTTCTCTGCACCTCATCGGTGTAGCCCTGGCAGATTTTGCAGATCTCCGAGAAGGAATTGGTCTGGTGGGAAAATTCCGTTGTAGCTCAACTTCCCAAAACAAAAAGATATACAAGCAGTGATTCGCCCCTACAAAACAATGTTAGTGGTGTTTAAACCGGTTTTGAGCATCGAAAATTGGGGGACCCTAAAAAAACTCTCCAGTAGTCGAACTTTGCAGTTTCTTGGCGTAGATGGTTTGCGCTTAAAGTGCCACGGCCACATCGAATTGGATCAAAATTGGGTGTTTCCAAAAGTGGATGCTTTACCACACTCAAACTCACGTCTCCGGTCTCCTGCGTCAATGTTGGCAAACATATGGGGGGTTCCTAAAATAGGGCTACCCCGAAATAATCATCCATTTTAGTAGGATTTTCCATTATAAACCATCCATTTTGGGGTACCTCCATTTATGGAAATCCCCATATGCCAAAACGGCCTCCACTTGCCATGCTCTCCAGAGCCCGTCCCTCAAAGACTGCCCCTTTTTCCGCCGCATCAGCTTCGTCGAGGAAAAGCTCCTGGCACCCAGCTGGGTGTCCATTGGGCTTTGGATATCGGATGCTGCTCCAAAAATCAGAGAAGTCGATGTGTCTACTGTGTGTGTATATAAACTGTATATGTGTATTGGATTGTATTATATTGTATTGTAATATATATATATATATGTAATATTGTATGTATAATATAATGTACTGTAAAATAATATAATATAAGATAATATAGTATAATATAGTATAATATAATATAATATAATAAATATAATGATATAATTATAACATCATATGATGTAATATAATATCATACAATGTAATATAATATAGCATAATATAATATAATATAATACAATATAATATAATATAACATAGTACAATATAATATAAATATAGATATAATATAGTATAATATATAGTGTGATATAATATAAATTAAATACAATATAGTATAATATAATGTAATATAATATAATATAATATGATATGATATAATTAATATAATTAATATATATAATAAAATGTTATATAATATAATATAATATAATATAATGTAATAGAATATAATATAATGCAATGTAATCTCCGATCAATCGCAATGCAGGGTTTTACAATTGCGGATGTTGAAATATACATGCCCTTTCATAATTCTTAGACTTGCATTTACAATCGGCTCCCATTTATACATGTTCATCGGGGAAGCAGTGGTTTGCAATGATCCAGCAGGTCAAAGAATCGGTTTTGTGTTGTTTTCACCTTCGTCCAGCCCGTGAGAAAAGCATCAACAAAAACATCTGATGTCACTTGGGTTAGGTTTTCCAGCAAACCTTTTCAATCCCACCTGGTTCTTCAGCTGGAGTCAAGTGTCATTTGGCTATTTCTATGGAATGTTGTGGAAAACATCTGGGCTAACCCCAAACACGCTGGGTTGATAAATTCGTTGATCCAGTACCAGACACACATATTAAGAAATGGCCAAGATCATCTAAAATCATCCAAAATCTGCAGTTCCCATGGCTTGAAAAAGCCAATTCCCCCCAAAACGAACTTCCAAACCCCTGTCCTCCACGATGATCGCTGTATCCTGCCAGGCCGCTTCCTCCTCTGCATCGCTGTCCGAAAACTCTGCGCCCTGGTGGAAGCGAGCCACCTTCCGGCAGTGCTCCAAGAAATCCTCCAGGTCCCATTTGTACTTCATGATGTTGCAATCCCCACATGCAGCTACCTATCAGCGACCCAAGATGACCCAAGGATACCCAAGGGTGGGTCATGGAAAATTTTACTGGCGGGTTCCCATGATGGATTTGCTGATCATTAACCATCCCCAATCAACCAGGTAGGGGATAAAGAACCCTGGATAAAGCCGATAAAAGCTCACCGAGAAAAGCAATCCCTCCCAGAATAATGACTAAAATCATCTAAAATCAGCATGTCTATTCATATATACATAATCATAAATCACCAAAAACCATCACGAACCATCAATTCCTTTTCTCCCAGTCACCCCTCACCGGATCACCAGTCCCTTGTGCCGCACCGCACCGTGTTTGCCCAGGTGCCGAGGTCTCTGCTGTGTAGACGCGGTTCTTGGAATCCAAGCGATCTAAGCCATTGAAGTGACCGCGGTCGCTGGGGCCATTGGTCTTGGCCTTGCGCGGCTCCTGTGGCCAAAATCGACTTCTTTTAGGTCGTTCTTTTGTGCAGCAAGCAAAGCTTTCCAAAGTTTATTCATCTTCATGTTGAAATATGGTAATTCATATTTGACTAAGATTGATTCAGTGTTAATATCGAATTTATAACCTTGGTTTTGTATGTAGACTTACTGGAACTCAGTAGGTCTGGGCCATTTCTGGTTGTGATAGTCATCTTCACCGAGCCAAAGTTTCATCGCATGTGGGTCGTATGGATGGGGGTGCTAAGGAATTGTGTGGATTCCATGAGCTATTCCAAGATATGTCAAATCTATGTCAAAATATGTCAACATGATTCAAAAAAGACCAGAATGATCCAGAATGCCTTGTTCCCTAACTTTCCCTAACCTTCCCTAACTTTCCCTAACTTTACCTAAGGACCGATTTCTGGACGTATCTCTCCATCCAGGACCTGCATGATTCAAGATCTCGGGGGTTCTCCTTATGACAGTAGAAGCACCTCTGTGCCACGATCGCATTGAACTGCTCATTGGTCAGGGAATGAGTTTTCCTGGCTTCCAAGGATTCAGACCCTCAAGTGCCAAATTTCCCCCAATAACGTGCTGATTCATGCTTTATCTCTTCCCCCTGGCAGGCTGTAGACACTATTCAATCACAACATCCCAAGCTTTGCCAGCTTGACTGTGATCACCACTATGATGAGGCAGTAACGAGTGCTTGAAATGCTCCGAAAACAAATGTTTGGTACACACACCAGCTGACTTCTGCACTTGCCTGATGCAGATCGCAATGAATGAGTACTAGCTAATAGTTGCCTTTTATTTGCTAAGTATACATCTATAGATATCTATAGGTACTATACATGTTACCATTCATACTCCCAATAACCTTATCCAGGACTCGTATGCGTGCTGGATTGCGTGATGTAGCAAGATCGAGACCGCTTGGAGACATTGTCCCGAAAACGCTGAGGATATTCCCCAAAGTCTTCACCTGGCGGTGATCATTGTCAACGCCATGATGTCCTTCACGAACTGCCCTGACCTTTAAGATAATCCGTTTGGCCAAACTTGATAATGATGTATGATGTATGATGTTATGTTATATGACTACACAGGAGCAAACCTTCAATGATTTTCATGATATTCTTCCAGGAAGGATGTCTCATTTAATGGTTAAATCACCATTTTTAATGGTTAAATCAGCATCCAGTCATCTAGTGAGTTCGGCCCCTCGGTTGTGCACCTTCCGTGTGTTTGGTGGCGATGTGACGACAGCACTCCACAAAAGCACGAAGTTTTCGGTAGCCTCCAGCGATGCAAAGGGATGCCAGCTGACAACTATCCAGAAGGGAACTCAGAGCTCAAAAGCTGTGATAGGACCACTGGTTTGCGATCCCCCAGCAAAACTGTCAGAAGTCCACTGCAACTGCAAAACCAGCCTTTCATCATGTTGCACATGCTGCAAGCTGGTGCCAAGTTTTCCTGGATAAATGGACCAAGAAATGCCTTTTTTTCGGTTGTTCATCGGTACAAATCATTTCAAATGCTAATAACATTGTTTTAGCTAGTGGCATTAAAATGTATCCAGCAATCCGTAGTTATGTAATTGAGACTTGTTTTACCATTATCCATTGAACCTATCAGCAAAATCATCGAGCATCAATATGCGTTAAGGTCTTAAACCATCTTAAACCTCTTTTCTTGCTTGGTTGAAGCCCCACTTTTGATCTTTTGGTTATTTTAAATCTCATGTTTCTACCATCTAAGATGGTCAGTCAATGTTAGTTTCACCATGTTTCACCATCACCCCCTTGCCGCCCTTGGCATCCCGTCCTCCGAATAGGGTCCCATGAAGCCTGTGCGTGTCTTGGGACGCTCAAGGCCACACCAGCGCCGCAAGCGGGTGAGCCCATGACCCCTTAAGGGAGCCACCTGGCCGCAGCCGACACAGGGGCCTCGGTGCTAGCTGGAACCCGTGTAGAAATCAATCTTTTGGGATTTGACCAATCCATTTGGGGATTTCACATTCTTGTTTAGAACCAATTTTGGGGATTCAACCAAGCAAAAGTAGGGATATTCAACCTGCACTCAATGGATCTAAAAGGTAATTTTGTACTGGCAATCAATCAATCAATCAATCAATCAAATCAATCAATTGTACCTTGAATTTGTCGATGCCTTGAAAAGTAAGACTAATCTTCCGAGTGGACCTAACTAATGTAATGAAAACATCAGAATGTCACCTTCAGCAAATCCAAGACTGGAAACCAAATGATTTTAGGATCGAAACTTTCTATAACCACTCTCCTTACAGGTTGTTTGGGGTGGTATCCGACAAGACATCAGTTGGCCCAAGAAAAGACCCGCGACTCAGCCACCAATGCAGATGGAAGTGGCTTCGCATCATGGCGCAGGCACTTTTCTCGGAGATGGTAAAGGGAACATTCTGCCTTCCATGACAAGCTTTGTGGGTGTGGGTCTGAAAATGGAGGATGATTGCTCTGATATGCCCTGATGTATGACAATGTTCACAATGTTGTAGGGACAATGATCCTATGATCCTAATTTCAGGCAAACCCATTTGTGCATGGGGTTTTTTTCGGTCGGTGATCCAGTGAGTTCAAGATCCCGGTCATCAGAAACCGACCTACACTTCAAAAGCAACCAAGATGTATTGGCTAAGTAAGGCTCAAACCATCCCAAATTCTGCATAAGTCTACAACTCCCACCTGGGGATATATGGATATATGAATAAGATCTATATACTCATAATACGACATAATGTGACATATGAATACACATTGATTACACACATGCAAATGTGCAGCTACACTAATCATGAGTGACTAATGTATATGGAGGTTTCCCACAATGAAAAGTACCCCAAAAAGTATTGAAACCATGGTGACTTGGGGATCACCCATGACTTCAGAAACCCCTCAATCCATGGCCTCTCAGCAGTTCGCCGGTAAGCCCTCAAGCGTTGGAGTTGTGGCAGTTCACCCACACCCCGCAGAGCATCCGCTGTCAGTTTCAGCTGTGGATTCCTAGGGGCTGTGGGCCGGTAAAAATGGGGAAAATGCTGGGTTCCATCAATGGGGATGATGGAAAATCATGGAAAATCCTAAGATGATTTGGGGGTATCCATATTTTAGGGCCTATATTGAAATAGACAACTCATGAAAGTTGGATGGGGCACGTTGGTGTGAAACAAAGGATCCGCGTGTTGCAGAGCCCAACCAGAATCAGCCAACAAACGTGTCTGCACACTTCGCGCATGTCCAGAAAGGGACGGGCAATGCCTCAGAATGCCTACTCAGTTGGCCTGAAGGCACGCATTTGTCAATGTCTAAAGTTTCATCTCAACTATTAAGTTGCTCTTTCTTTCTAATGATAACTGACATAATTCAGATTGAATGATTGAGATAGACTTAGATGATATACCCATCGTTCGACCCACAATCTCCCCTCATCTAGCTGAATCGAAATCATTCGGAGATGATTCCCCCAATCCTAACCATTGTTACAGTGACGTCAGAGGTCATTACAATTAATCCAGAATCAGAAATTCGACCCACGCCATGATCATGCCATGGCTCTTCTTCCACAGAGGTCTTCTACAACGGGCACAGATGGACAAATCTGGTGGCTTGTCCTCCTCGGAGTCCAAGTCTATGACCTCGCGAGAAGCTTTGACTGGAGGGTGAACTATGAAAAATGGTGATTCAACCATCGAAAATGACGGTTTCATCATGAAAAATGGTGGTTCACCATTAAAAACCCGTGAATTATTGTGATTTGTGTGATTTAATCAACAAGTGTGATTTATCCACCCAAAAATCTGATTTAAGAGTCTAACATGGGAAGTGAAGCATCAACCGTTGGGTGATTTGACCAAGAAATGTCACATTTTCTGGGAGGAGTTCAGGTTTCCTGGGGGACACAAGCAGCAAAACTGGTGAGTTCACCCATCAAGATATTGGACCTGAGTGGAGCAACAAAGATTGGGGAACGGAATCAACAAAGGTGGAGACATAACCAAGAACAACGCCGGGCATGGCAACCCAAAATGCGGCTGGATGGATTTTTTTAGCGTTTCAAATGCTCCAAACTTCAGGTCAGTGATCAAACTCAGGATGTTCACCTTGGTATCCCCTGGTTTTGGTGCATTTTTGTTGCGACAGCCCATCTTGGGACAGATCCAGCCCTGGGCTCAGCATGCATGCAACAAAGGCACAGCGGCTTCATCTTCTGGTGCCTCGTCAAGACAATGACAGACACAAGACCCAAAATCTGCGATTCCCAGGACCTAAGACTTTGAACCACACCCATTTCAAAGTCAGAGATCTGCTTCCTTTGGCTCTCTGAAACATGAAGTTTAAAGCGTCCACATGAGCTTGTCCAAGCATAGGGTCCTATCAAAAACTGCGTAATATTGGGGTATACTCCCATTTTCAGCCATGCCCAAATATCATATGAATGGTGACATCTATCATCTATCCCATTGATTCCAATGGAAAAAACGAAAAAACTCATTAATTCATATTATAGTAATTCAAACATTCAACATCATTCAACTATGGTATCTCATCGTTCGCCCCACCTTCTTCAGAAATGCCACCATGCTCTTCTGAATGCTACTATCCTTTGCTCTTCTGCAGCTGAAGCAAAGGACTTCAACCACACCACCATCAACTTCCTCCGCAGCAGTTTGGGTGTGTCTTGGCCAATTTAACGATAACAAAGAACTTAAATAACAATGATAAAGCATTGGATTTAGGGGTATGAGTACTCTGTTTTCAGTTAAACCCAAAGTGGCATGGGTCTCACATTTAGCAGCCCTAAGGATGGTCATTATAATCCGCAAGAGCCAGCGGATTTCCATTCCCCTCGCGGGAGGTCTTGTCTTGCAGAGAAGAAGACTGCCAATGAATCAAGTCCTTGTGTATCATTCATGTGGATTTGTCAATACCGGTTCCAATAAGTACCAGGTCATGATGGTCCCACACAAACCAAAAAGTATAACCCCTTCAATAGCCAGTCAACAAAAGTTGTGGTGCTCATGTGCGCATGCACCCAGCTTGGGGTGTTTACAACCGCAACTATGGTGCTGTAAGTGTCTCCAAGATAAAGTTTCGTGTTTGAAAAGCAGCCGAGCGCACCAGTAAGGAAAATGGATGCAATGAGCAGACTCCAAAACACTTCACACCTGTTCGCACTGGCACTGAAACTTCATGTCTCACACTCGCCCAAAATTGCCTTGGCTTGTCGATACTTCGGCTTTTTCTCACCTAACAGCGTGTCTGCAATGACAGAAGCACAAAGATGCACAAAGTGCTTCTCGATATTGCTACAACATGTTTAAACATGCTTAAACCCATTTGTTTTGCATCTCTTTGTGGAAAGCAGGGTCTGAGGTCTCAGTCAGCACTGTGCTGGCTGGAGAAGGCCAATCAAGGAAAAACCTTTCATTTCAGGCAGGTTTACCAATATCATGGGAGGACAAAACATGCCACTACCACTGTGAGGCTACTAGATATGGCAGTGTGTCAAAACCAATAGTACCCCTTTTGTTCACATCAAAATAGCTGGTAAATGGATGTTCATCCCCCTAAAAATGGTATTAATAGTGGATTTTCCCATTGAAAATGGTGATTTTCCATAGTTATGTGAGTTTACCAGAGGGTATATCACTATTGAAATCCTATTAATAGGTATTGATCCATCCCCATATGACCATCAGCATCAGCGTAGCCTCCCTTGGAACCTGGATCTTCAACGACGGCGTCTCCCTGACTTCTTCGACGACGGCGGCCCGCTCGGCTCGGCCTGCTTGGCTCCTGCCGATCAACGCGCGGCGTTCGCAGGTTTGAGTGTCTCAGGTGGGAAAAAATGTGTAAAATCCTCGGACCCTGCTGGGTACATCCCAAAGATATGCTGAAGAAACATGAACAGGTTGTATATGGTTGTATTGGGACGCTCATGACTGCTCATCTACCCATCTTTTCGGGTGGAGAAACATGATTAAACCAATCCGCACAGGATGTTCATCCACACATTGGGGCCTTGGGGCCATGATGATTTTGGCAGGTCATAGCTATGTGGCTATGTGATCCAATGTGCATGTCCTATCCCCGGTTCTTGTTGCTCAAATCATCCCCTAAAAGGAGCTTGAATAACTTGAATACCCCATTCTCAGTGGCTCACCTTTGGCAAAGGTCCCAGTACCTGTAACTTTGGTGCCAGGCGCAATGGAAATGTACAGCAACTATCAACAATTCATCAATCTGAAATAATCCAATCTTACCAGGATTTCCCGTGCAAAGCCCCACTTCTGATGTCCTCTTGAGTAGTGATTTTTGTTCGAAAGTCGTATCCAATGATGTCCTTTTTGTGAATGAATGATAGTTACCCATTTATAGCGATATTGGGGCTGTTTTACTATTGGATACTATTGGGTTTACCCACATTAATTGTTGAGTAGAATACAGGCCATCAAAGGCCAAAGGTCTTCCCAATCAACGGCTCCATGGACATGGTCCACTGACCTAGATGATTCAGTGTTCATTCAAAAACAGTCAAACTCTCAAATTGGAGAATCAGAGACATTCTGATTAGTAAGTAACATACATATATATATATATAATCATAATATAATATAATATAATATATATATATATATATACATATTATATATATTATATATATTATATATATATATATTATATATATATATTATACACGTAGTCTGGTGTACTGATATTACACAGGTTAACCATCCGTGAATGGTAAAGTTCTCTAAATCTTCCAAGCGGCTGTCATCTTGGTCATCTCATCTAAGCACTCAGCGCTGTGCTTTCCATGACACGTGGTGCTTCGCCGGTCTTGTTTGCTTTGACAAGACCCCGACAGCAGGAAAACAACATGCGAACCACCCATTGACTGAAAATTGTTCCTCTCCAAGAAAGAGTACTTACTAGCCTTCTTTTGACTTGTCAATCGGTGATACATGGCGATATCCAAACCAAAAAAGATCAAAAGGGACTAGCAACAATGATTGCATCTTGTTCTGCGCTGCCTGACAGATTGATAACAACTGATAACAGTTATTCGAAAAAAAAGATTTTCAGAAACACATGAAACGAACATCTTCTCCGTTCTGCATGCTCCTGACTCAGCTTTGGGAAGATATTTAAGCCCACATCAAGTCATCCTGGAACCCTGTTCCAGAGGGTTTGACCCAAACAAGCTGCAGGCGGTTGATGTTTCAGGTATTGACGTGTCATCCTCAGCCCACCTGAAAGCTACCTTTAAAGTACACCAAACAAACCCCACTCGTTCAAATCACCAGTGATTGTGTGTGTGTGTGTCAAAAAAACTGCAATTCATATCCCATACAAGTTCAAGTTCGACTATTCTTTGAAAACATATCATCTTTGGACCGAGCCCCATCTCGTGCCGTGCCTGATACATGTCCAGCTTCTCTTTGAGCTTATAAGCCGAGCTCCGATCCCCTTTGTTCGGTGGCAGCTGCGACCTGGGTGTCACCCGGGTGCCCAGCCGGGTGCCCGGGATGATCCGGATGGAACTGAGGTGTTCGTTTTCCCCACTGTGTCCCAAAAAAATCCCAGTCATTATACGTACTATATCAATCTATATCAATCTATATCAATCTATATCAATCTATATCAATCTATATCAATCTATATCAATCTATATCAATCTATATCAATCTATATCATATATATATATATAAATATCATATAAATATCATGTTGATATAGGATGATATAGGTATCCAATATCATCCATCCCAAAAAAATGGGAAGAACCGAATCCCAAGGAACCCAAGGGGGAACCCCCCCTCTCGCCCGGGACTTGGCTTTCGGGCTTGCTGATGATCTGCCCCACTTGGGAGAGGTGAAAACCCAGGGAGCTGATGGCCTCGAAAGGAACTCATGGTGGACTTCACTGGGGATGACATCCTCATTTATATCATTTATGGATGATTTTCCCAGCTAGAAACCTCCATTAAAAAAATATTTAAAAAGGGGATTGTTCAGCTAGCCACATTTGATTAGAGGGCAAATCATCTTGAAGCATCTTGAATGATCTTATAAGTCATCTTAAATCATGATTTTGAAGGCATTTTGAGAAGGTGAAACAGATTGTTGGAGCCGGGCAACTCTTAAATCGTATTTTTGCATAGGGTGAACCCGGTTTCAAGCATTTGAAGTGCAGAAACCTGGGATTTAAAATCGACATGGTGACTTCGGACACTTTCAAGGCACTTCGTTTGTCGCAGTGTCTGTTGAGGCTTGGTGATGGTTCGCTAATTCCCTGGAATCATCTACTGAATCGTTCAGAAAGTTTAGGAGTCGGATCGTCAATCACACTGATAGATCCTAGACCATCACCACCAGACAAAGAAGTATGCCGCGATTATAGTGACACAAAGGTCTTCCATGGTTTCAGGGCTGCAGAGGCTTCACATTCTTGGGTTCAACAAACAACTGCTTCGTAGCCTGTGGGAACCTGTGGGACACCTTTTTACAGAACCATCATTAAAATCAGCACCTAATCTACATGATTCTAAGAAATCTATGACTATGGCCATATGGCCAGTTTTAAGGCCTTTTACCCGGGTTCCCCAGGTTTTTGCCATTCATTGTGAGGTTCTTTGAGTTCGCTCTAAATGATCCAATTTTCACATCCAAAATCCATCAAAAGTCATGAAAAACAAAACCCACGGATCAATCAGCCAAAGAAAGCCTTGTGACTCGTGACAAGAACATTCAAGATAAGGGGAAAAAAGTACCAATGATCAAACATCTTCAACAAACCACTCAGCTAATCCAACCCCAATCAGCTTCAACCATGGTAAACCCAATAGTAAACCATCCAATTTCTAGGGATGTACCCAACGCCATAAACCATCCATTGGAGGATGGTTATAGTTATCCCAGTAATCTGTTACTATATCCCATTGTGACATTGGCTTTAAGTGGCTTTACCACATTTATGATTGGGCTTGTAAACTCATTATATATATATATATGACTATAGCAATGTTATATCCACACCCATTGTATAACTGTCTTATTGGCTTCACAATAAAACGGTCCGAAATCCAGCCACCCAGCTGCCTCTGCACTGAGGTCCACCAGCTCCCGGCTCCCTTCGCTGACATCGTCATTTTTCATAGCACCCAACCTGCACAGCGGTGACTTCCAGGGGGGCCACCAGCAGGACAGAGTCACTCAGCCCGCACCTGAAGCGAGCTCAAATAAGCCCCTGCCCCTCCCACGGCCCGTGAGCCAAACGTAGTGCTGCGGTTGTTAGTGTTCCAGCGGGTTGGTGATTTTATTTTCAACCAAAGCATCATGGGGGGTCGCAATGCCAAATTTAAAGATATGGAAAATGGTATTTGAAAACATGAAACGTCTCTCCTTTCTTGCAATATCCAAACATGACACCTATGAATTCACGGTGCAACGGCAGCAACACCTTTTCAACGCGTCGCTCGTCGGCCCGGCTGTCAGGCTACAGCTTGGAAACCTGCACAAGTGTCGACAAGGCTGGATGAAATCCTAAAGTCAGAAATTCTTTCAGCATCCCCACGTTGCTGCGAGAAGCAGTGAGGTTCTTCCCTTTCCGGCAATTGGTCGCATTGTGCCAGAACTGCTCAAGATTCATACCGGGATAAGAGTTGATTGGTTGATTGTAAGCATCATCTGGCGTCTAATGACCATTCGAATATCAGTACCGCTCACAAGCACACTAATTACGAGTGGCTCAAAGCACCCTCGCCTTCCCAAACTTCTTGCGCTGCTCGCTTTCCAGACAGGTATGCTGCATGAAAGCCGCCCTGATTCAGGACATCAAATGGCCAACTTCACTGAAGGGAACTGCTGCAGAGAGAATAATAATTGAATCACTGAATCAACATATGTTGCACACTGTGGGGAGAATTCGAGAATTGCAGTGGGTTCAAAATGGGTTCAAAATGGGTTCAAATGTATGCAAGCTTTGATGTGGCAGATGAGAGAGACCGTTCTGATGGCTCTGTTACAGTTTAAACACCTGACTAAACTGACTGAACATGACTAGACCATATTGTAGAAAGCATGTCTATCTTGTATAATGCCAAGTCAATAGTCCCGAAAAGTTCAATAACAACTTCCCAGCTTTCCCATCCACATCTCATTCCCCATCCTTTCCAGGTTCTTCTCCCATGGTGTAGTATCACACCCTACTGCCACCAAGCAACACGTGGTTTTTCCACATATTAGAGTCATGAAAAATAGCCCTGGCCCTATCCCACCTCATAAAACACTAGTTGCACTAGTTGATATTAGTTGGTTGATAGGCTTTCCCACTTTAAAATGGCTTATCATTGAGTTATCATTGAGTTAAGTAGTAAAAGTATGTATAAGTCCCTGGCCAACATCACCAATCAACCAGATTTTCATGGATTTTCATGGATTGTTCATGGCTCACATGGCCTGATGTTCTTCGTGCGTGTGCTCCCCTGCCACTTTGATCCTCCCTTCTTCCGTGGCAAGCAGAAGCGCCCGAATGTCATCCCATTCCTTGGCTGGTGATGGCATTGATGGTAAAGAAATGTGGATGTCTGGAACTTGAGGATTCACCCAAGAAAATGCTGTTAGATAATGTATGTTATATATATATATATATATTATATTTAAACAAAGAATATCAAAAAATCCTCAAAAAATGATCTAGCAGCTAGCAGCAACAAATTCTATATGATTCTATGACGCTTTCTGGTAGGAAACTCGCGCATCTTTTTAGGGCCTGCGATGCCCCAATCCTTTTAGTATCACGGGAAAAGGACAGCAGACCACTTGCCATGCCAGGGATCTGCATCTTTGCTGCTGACCCTTGGATCAATCCAACGACGCTGAAGATCTGATGCTGTTTCTTGTGGTGGTTTTGCTATCATCTGCAAGGCATGTTGCTTCCTGAAGAGAACAATTTGGTCCCAAATGTGTCTGAAAACCATTGATAACCCCATATATATATTTATATATATATATATATATTTATATATATATATTTATATATATATATATGTGTGTGGTTGAAAGCAGCAAGTTCAGCTCCTCACTGGAAGCCTTGATCGCGCCCAAGTGACGAATAGGAGCCGCAGGCCCAAGGTACGCGTCCCCAGCGCGTGAAGTGCGAGGCCCGGATCTCGTGCTTGGCCAAGGTCAACAGACCGCAAGCTGCCTGGTGGGCCATATTGGGCCATGGGCCACCCATCGCCAAAGTCAAGGGATGTCAAGGGTTTAAATGGTTTAAGGGAACATCTACAAACATCAGGGGACCATTCTCAAACCATACAGTCGCGGAAGCAACATGAAGCAACCATTCCAAAGTGTCCCTTTCAGGTCTATAGTTGGTGCAAACCAATCACCTGAAGATTTTTTAGGCCCAGAAGGTTGTGTATTCTGACAACGTGTTTCAGAGGCTGACAGTACCAGGCTTCTGGGCACCCACACCGGTCCGAATGGGTAATGTGTGAGGTTCATTGATCAACTTGAATCTACGATCACTTCTTTGGTGATTGGTTGACCACGTATGTCTCTGGACAGATCCCAGTGGCATTCAATCTCTACGTATCTACACAGAGCATGCCAGTTCTCTGACCGTTGCCAAACGCCTTTGGCAACTTATTGCTCAAAAAGATGTCATGCGTACCCGTTGAAAGCCTCAGAGAAGTTGAGGTCCTTCTACAGGTCCCAGCCACAACAAACTCAATGTTGCGTCCCCTGCCTCCAGTGCCTCTTCATCTGTCAGCTTCTCTGCTTCTGCTGAAAGCGTCGCCAAAGACCTAGCGACAAGGGCATTTCGTTGACGCTTCTCAGGTTCATCAAACGAAAGATTTGTCTTTTGGAGGTTTCCCAACATGGGGGTACCCAAAATCATCTAAAATTAGACCATTTTAGATCATTTTAGTACTAAAACCCATGGTGACTTTGGGATCCACATGGATCCACCATTTTCAGATTCCTCGGCAGGTCGTCCCCTTGCAGCCAAGGGACAGCAACGGCTTTCCGGTGAGCGGCCAGTAGTTGAAAAGTTGCCAGAAATGATGGGACACCTTACGGTTGGCCGTTGGAAGTACCCAATCTTCCAATCTTAATCCACCCCACAGGATCCACAGATTTACTGGTGAAGCTCATGGGTATTTAATGGTTTTTCTGGTCCTCTGCCCGTTGAAGACAAAGCACTAGATCTGTAAAGACAGGAAATCGCGCTGCGGCCTGGAGCTGATCTTGGAGACGAGTTTCAACCAATTTGTCACTGGAGTTTTTTACAGGATGAAAAACAGGTGATAAGTGCAGGATTAGGAGATGGGAATTTATATATATATATAATATATACATGATTTGATGATTGATTTGGAAAGATTTAGGTTCCCAACCATCCAAACCATCCTAAATCATTTCTTAAATTTGATCATGGGGATTTGGATATATTTGAAACCTTCATAACCTAAACCATCCTAAATCATGGAGATTGATATGATTTGATGTTCTATTTCAGCATGAAGACCAGGGATTTCAGGGTTCTGGATCCCGACCACCCTCAAAAAATCAGTGGGGCACGGATTCGGAGACATTCAGCAAGAGCTTGTTGTAGTGGCCTCAATCACAATGGTGCTATTCTAGGGGCCCCCGAATAGATGGCACAAACGGTACAAGCACTAAGATGGCATCAATGAAATGTCAACCTCATATGTTGGTTCAGTGTGTGCCATCTATTGGGTCACGACAAAATGCAAAAAAAAAAATATATTTGTAGCTATTTGCAAAAGCCATCTTAAGGGCGCTAAACAAAATAATATATATATATATACATATATATATATACATATATATACATATATATATACATATATATATACATATATGTATAAATGAGGGAAATATCCAGTAATATATTAATATATTAATATTTATATAACATTTTAATATAATGTAATAAAATAAAATACAATGTAATATATAATATAATATAATATAATATAATATAATATAATATATAATATAATATAATATAATATATAATGTAATATAATATATAATATAATATAATAATATATAATGTAATATAATATATAATATAATATATAATATAATATAATACAATATAATATAATTTATAATATACTATAATATAATATAATATAGTATAATATAATATATAATATAATATATAATATAATTAATATAATTAATATAATTAACATAATAAATATAATAAATATAATTAATATAATTAATATAATAAATATAATAAATATATTTAAATTAATTAATATCATTAATATAATCAATATAATTAATATAATTACTATAATACTATAATTAATATAATTAATATATTTAATATAATTAATAGAATTAATATAATAAATATAATTAATATAATATTATCTATTATAATTTACTATATATAATATATAATATTAAATATAATATAATATAATATAATATATATATAATTTATAATATTTAATATATAATATATAATATATAAAATATAATATGATATGATATAATATAATATAATATAATACAATATAATATAATATAATGATATATAACATTATATATTATAAAATGATATAATATAATAATGCATAACATAATATAATATAATAGAATATCATATGATATGATATAATATAATATAGTAACATATAATATAATAATATATAATATAGTATAATATGATAACATAAAATATACTTTAATAATATAATATAATATAATATGATATGATATGATATAATAAAATATGTAATATAACATAACATAATATGATATAATAATATAATATATAACAAAATATAACATATTGTAATGTAATAAAATATATTATATGATATGATAGAATATAATATAATATGATATAGTAAAAGATAATATAACATAATATAATATGATATAATACAATATAACATAATGTAATGTAATAAAATATATTATACTATACTATAATATAATATAATATAAAATAACATAATGTAATGTAATAAAATATTTTATACTATACTATACTATAATAAAATATGATATAATGATATAATACAATATGATATGATATGATATAATACAATACAATACAATATAATATAGTATGTTAATATAATATACAGTAACTATAAAGATGACCAAACTTCCGTCTCGGTCAGGAAAACGAGAAGACCCTGATTCTGAATCCCAATAACATCCATGGTTGGGGGCATTCTCCAGTCCTGCTCAATCAAATCTCGACATGCCAAGTCTCACATTTCCAGCCGCTGAAGTGGCTTTTCAGGCAACTGCAAAAAGCTTGGACGAGACTGCAACACTCCTTCCGCCGCTTTCGTTCGAAGTTGCAACGGGGAAGGCCACAACTGGCTCAACCCCCCAGGAAAATGTTCTCATTGGGCAAAATGGTGCTAGTGACGGAAATGGAAATCGTTTGAAACCGATTTCAAACCAGCCACCCAATAATGTTGGGTATGGATTCAGATTCCTTTGGTATGGTGCAGATCGTCGCAATCGCGGATCAATGAAACATGCGATGAAGTGACGCAAGGAAGAAGGGCTGAGAACTTGCATGACTTTTCAAACTGACTAATAAATTCCAAGAAGAAATGTATATATTCCCCGAATTTCCCCGAATTCCCTGCGTATCAAATTGCCTTTGAAACGGGATGTCCCTTGACAACTCATGGGTGTATTACATAATGTTCCCAATGGAATATGTTCTGAAAGAAACGCCAAATTGGGGCCACATTTGAACCATATTCAGCCACCAGTGATGTTGGAACCCCTCAGACATCTGGGGGACAGGGACGGTGTCCATTCCACGTAGCATCGCTCCTAAGGACACGGTGACCACCGCCCATTGGGCTCTGAAGCATCGCTGGTGGCAGTGGATTCGGACCTCATCGCGAACTTCTTCCACGGCACAGACCTCTTGGCCCAGGACGACCTGAGCGCGTGACTCAAGTGCTTCGGTTATGTATTGTATAGTGGTAGAATAGTGTAGATTGAAATATTTCGGGAATAATGGGATAACATGGAACTTGGAATGGATTTGATCAACGAAAATGGACAGTCAACCAGCACAAACTGGGATTCAATCCCCAAAAAATGAGTGGTCAAAATTTGCATGGTTACCCAAAAATGGATGGTTGATAGTTGATGATGGTTCCTCCTTATGGGCCATCTGTGGTCCCCAGGGCCTCAAGCTTCATTCAGAATCACAAACAACGGACCGGTTCCATCACTCACAACACCTGTCGCTGCAACGAAACTTCAGTAAGCAAGCTTGGAATATCTTGAAAGGAAATCAACAACTTCAACAACTTCAACAACTAGTGATTTCACAAAGAAAATATGTGGACGTCCATCACAGTCCAACATCCAATGGGTCTGCGCAGCACCCTGCACCTTCAAGCCAAGTCTTTGGGCTTCATTCGCCAAGCGCTCAACCAAGATCCGCATGCCGCCTATCTAAATCTCCAGTTCGAATGGAGAATGTGTTTGTGTAATTTTCTGTATATGCAAAAATGATGTGGAGCTGTATACAAGATTATACAAGTGTGTGCTCCATTGTATTAGTTTCTAAATATACAGTATACATAATCATGAATGATAATATACATGATTTCTAAATATATCATATACTAAATCAAGCCATATATACATGATTTCATACATGACTTGATTTCCCCACTGAAGACTCTCCATGGTCCGGCCTTTGAGTACAGCGTGCGCACCAGGGTAGTCGCCCATGGAGCCATGCTCGCCGTCCCATTCCAACAAGCCGATCCGATCCTCAGCGGCCATGATCTTCGGTGCTTGTCCGACGGAAATCTGCAGGTGTACCTGGAAAGCCTGAAAAAAACATAGGCCCAAAAAAACGAACTGCTGATGGCGGCTATTTTTTACAAGCTCTATGTAAACATAATACATCATAATACTGTAAGCCTCTTTTAACCAGTTCATGGTGGTCAAATGACGAATCACTCTAAGGTTCGTTCAAGGTTATTTACCAAACGGATCCAAAGGGGATTACAACTGTTATTTGGTCAGACTTCATGTCGAAGTCTTGTCCATCAATACCTTCTCCAGGAATTCAAGCTATCAGAATCAGCCATGTCTACTCTTCGCTCAGCCAGGCGTCTGCGGACATTCCAAACCACCCCTCCAGCATTCGGAGCCTTCTCCGTTCAGCATGAGCCAAAGGTCCCATGATGGGCTCCGTTTCAAGCAGACCATCCTGCATCAATTTGCATGGATCGAAATAAAACTCAGGTAACACAAGAATTTTATGGTCAATGTCAAAATTAAACATAGCCATACATAGCCTAAAATATGTCCCTAAACATTGCTTCAAAAGCATATGTGGCTTGCAGGATCTGATATTTTTTAGACCCGTACCATTCTCGCCTGCAGGGACCTGCCGCCCTGAGCCATCGACGCAGCTGCGCCCACCACGGCCAGACGACGTTCCCAGGTCTCATCCTCCTCTCAGGTGGTGTGATCGACGTGATCTAAGGACGGGGAAGACGCCATGACTATAACATCCGATAACCAACAACCATCACCAACCAATAGAAATAATATAAATATACAGGGGGATATGTTGTGCAGGTATGAAGGAAGGTATCATATCAATATCAGGATATATAAGATGATATAAATATAACATGGGCATGAAAGATAGGGAGCGAAGATCGGAATATATCACATTGTATAACAGATATTAACAGATAGTTATCAGATGGCATCTAACCAATACTGAACGGGAATTTCACCAAGATTCTACCCAAAGTTGCTGCTGAAAATCGTTCCCCTTGGGGGTTCCTCCTTGTGATTTGTCTCAATCGTTGACCTTTGATCGGGAGGGCCCCATTGCAGCTGTTCATACACAGGGCGTGACAGGGACGGGAGGGTCCCCTAAAACAGCTGCAGACCCAAAAAACTCTTGTGGATGCCAAAAATCAACCAAATGGTTGCTTACTTACATGGGGGTTTCCATAAATGGATGGCTTATAGTGGAAAATCATGGAAAATCCCATTACTTAAAATGGATGCTTTGGGGATACCCCCATTTCAGGAAACCTCCATATATTAATATAGGCCAGCATGACCCGGAGGCCCAGGTCGTCAACCACTACTAGCAGATTTTTGCGGCGATGACATGCACGGGATTGCAGGGTCAAATCCTCCAAGATCAGGGATTTGACTTCCGGACATGCACACAGCAAGAATCAATAAAATTACCCTCTGGTGAACTAACATAGCAATGGAAAATCACCATTTTTAATGGGAAATTCCACTATAAATAGCCATTTTCCATTGCTATGTTAGTTCACCAGAGGGTACTGTATATATAAAATTATATATCACTAACATTCACTAACAATAACTCATAATTATTCCACATTCCCATGATATCAGTTGCATCCTAACATCCCTATCCAATGATATATCACCACTTGCCAAATTCCTCTCACCACGGACCCATGAAGCAAGTGACCTCCGAAGCTTTGAAGCTGCAGCTATCGGTCTCAGCAGGACCGTGCAACCAGATGTTCTGAGCGCTGCTGGGCACGAGGTCCTGGAGACCGGACATGGGAACCCCAAAGAAAAGTTGACCATTGGGGGGTTCATGTCTGTAACTTCGATTGTGCAGCTGAATGTCACAGTTGTGAAAGACATGATACGTCTGGACCCATGGCTTTTAGTATCTCGTCTCAAGAGCTATGGGCTCCTCAACACGACATTTGCTTCTCTTGCTTTGAATGGGACCCTATTTTCATGCATAGCCACATCCAGAATGGATAAGTTCTGACCAGTGTCAGCAGCACTGTCCTCCGGTCCAATCCAACCATCTTCGATCAGCGGATTGCCATCTACTCCATGAACCCATGCAGCACCTGCATCTGCTTCCACATCGCCCACCTTTGCAAGACAACTTGTACTCGATCAAAGGCCTGTGGTAAGCTGCACCTGCTCCAATAGAAAGTTTAAGTCTAGTAGGCAGCCTGGTCCTCCAAATAGATGGAAATACATGGAAATGATTGTTGTTACTGTTGAACCACGCTTTCTCCCACATGCTGGTGGATCACCATGATTCACCATGTATCTTTCAATATGAACTGGCTGGGGACCCACCTCACGGATTCGAATAAACATGGACAAAACAGCTGGTGACAGCTGGTGTTGATGGATTTTCACTCACTATTTTCATCCCCCCATAATTGTCCCCAAAAACGCCAAAAATATTGCGTTTCTCGGTCCGACTTATTGACAATCTCGGTCCCCAAGCCCCACCTTGCAACTGTAGAGTCTTCCTCCCAGCCGTTCTTGCCATTCCACCAGCGCAATCGAGACCGGTCCTGAAGGTCCTGTCGCGAAGTGCCGCAGCAGCGACACCGCGCAACTCAGCCCAGCGATTCCTCCTGTAAGCCAAAGTGGTGAGATGATTCGAAGTTTCAATGATTGCCCTTTGGAAAGTTCAGCTGAAAATGGAAGACCTTCTGAAAACCCATGGTAAAGATGGGAAATTTCCCAAAGCCACGTTGGATTGCCACAGGATCCACAGGGTACTTTTGGATGACAACTGAGTTTTGTGCACGGCAGGAACAAACAGAGGTCATGAACAGCTACGGCCAGCTGCGGCTATGAAAGCTCCAGAAGGGTTCATGTGTACATCTTCAACACTTCACTTTGCATGGCGGGATGCTGCAGCATATCTTGCGACCGCGGAAATGTGTCCATTTGTTCCAAAATAATATGTTTACCCTTTGAAACAGAAATTCCAACAGTACTTTGAATTCGAAACAAACACTTTGAAAACATCCGCAGGTGCAATAGCCGAAGTTTCTCTCTTTCAGGGACGATCCCCCGTCGGGACTCCTCCAATGATGATCACGTCGTAGGACTCCTCTGCTTCGACCATGGTGCGGTCTCATGGCGGATTGGACATGCGACGAATGGTGCAATTTAGCTAGTTTTTTATCTGTCATATCCGCTTGGTGGATCTTGGTGGAATATATGGAAAGCTGTCAGCCAGACTTTGTAGATCAAAAGTTTTTGTCAGGA